GACACGCCATGGACACCCCCGGTGCACCCCCGGGACACCCCCAGGACACCCGCTGGACACCTTCTGGACACCCCCGAAACATCCCCGGGATGCCCTTGGGACACCCTCGAGGCACCCCCGGGTGTCCGGGACGCCCCTTGGACACCCCCGGGACACCCCTGGCACAACCCAGGGGCACCCTAGGACACCCCCAGGGGCATCCGCAGGACACCCCCCGGGGCACCCCAGGGGCCTCCTCGGGACACCCATAGGACACCCCCGGGGCAACCTCGGGGCACCCCCGGGGCGCCCACCGGGGGTGTCCCGGGTGCGTACTGGGGTTGCCCTGAGGATGCCACGGGGGGGCCCTGAGGGTGCCCCGGGGGCCTCCCGGGGGTCTCTCGGGGGTCTCCCGGGGATCTTCTGAAGGTCTCTCGGTGCTGTCCCAGGGGTGCGCCGGGGTTGCCTGTTAAAAAGCTCTTGCCCCGCGTAGTGGGGCGCCCACGATCCGAGTTGGGTCAAAAATTTATATTTTTATTTATGTTTTGCATTCTAAAGTTAATATACGATTTTTAGGAATTAATGCAACAAGCGGTACCATTTTTGGATGAATATTCTATTTTTTATGATTTTATTTATTTTTCATATTTGAAAAAGAAAATAAAATAAAAGCGATTTCAAAAAAGTATGACATTTTGCAGACACGATCCTTACATTTTTCTGGGCATGCCTACAAAAAATGGGCTCAACAAAGACAAAAAAAAAGTAAAACACTGTCAAAAAGCCCCCGCCCTGCGTAATGAGGCGCCCAAGGGCCGGGATGGGTAAAAAATTTACATTTTATTTATGTTTTGCATTCTAAAGTTAATATATGATTTTTTAGAATTAATGCAATGAGCGGCACCATTTTTTGATGAATATTATATTTTTTATGATTTTCTTTATTTTTCATCTTTGAAAAATAAAATGAAATAAAAACGATGTCAAAAAATTATAAAATTTTGCAGACATGATCCTTACATTTCTCTAGGCATACCTGCAAAGAAAGGCCTCAAAATTGAAAAATAAGAAAAACGCTATATAAAAGCCCCCGACCCGCGTAGTGGGGCACCCAGGCGCCGGAATGGGTCAAAAATTTATATTTTTATTTATATTTTACATTCTAATATTAATACATAATTTTTAGGAATTAATGCAACAAGCGGCACTATTTTTTTATGTATATTCTATTTTTTATGATTTTATTTATTTTTCATCTTTAAAAAATAAAATAAAATAAAAACGACGTCAAAAAATTATAAAATTATACGGACACGATCCTTACATATTATAATATAATATAATATCTTAAAATATAATATAATATATAATAAAATTATTATAATATAATATAGTTATAATAATATAATAATTAATTTTATATAATAATAATTTTATTATATTATATTACATTTTATATATTATAATATTATAATTATATTAACAATTTTAATAATATTGTTATATTATATATCATAATTATATAATAATAATTTTATTATATTATATTACATTTTATATATTATAATATTATAATTATATTAACAATTTTAATAATATTGTTATATTATATATCATAATTATATAATAATAATTTTATTATATTATATTACATTTTATATATTATAATATTATAATTATATTAACAATTTTAATAATATTGTTATATTATATATCATAATTATATAATAATAATTTTATTATATTATATTACATTTTATATATTATAATATTATAATTATATTAACAATTTTAATAATATTGTTATATTATATATCATAATTATATAATAATAATTTTATTATATTATATTACATTTTATATATTATAATATTATAATTATATTAACAATTTTAATAATATTGTTATATTATATATCATAATTATATAATAATAATTTTATTATATTATATTACATTTTATTATATTATATTGATTGATAAAATATTAGTGTTAGATATAGTATAAAGATAAGTTTGTCAACATGAAAATATTCATGTTTCATTCCAGAGAATTCTCAAACTTACAATTAAATCAATGAATCAACTTTGTTTTCTATTATATTCCCATTACCATTCTTATTCTCATTCTCATTATCATTCTAACACTGTAACCAAACGCACCATAATATTTGTTTTTGATACATTTTGTTAATTTATGGGTACGCATATTCGTTCTTGACACTAAATTGGTCTGTGGTATTTGTTTTTTTTTTTTTATTATATATGATTGTAACTTCGATTTTACGTATGATATGGTCGTATATTGTAAAAGAGTGAAAACTTATCATCTCCTCCCACATTTGTAATGTTTTCTTTAGTGTGCATTTGAGTGCTTGCGGTTGAATGAGACATTTTGCAAGGATTCTAAATTGTTGAATATCAAAACAAACTTATAATGCTCCAAAGGGGGAAAAAACATGCAAAATGTGGACAAAAAAAAAAAAAGGAATACAGAATGTTAATAAAGGGCTTGACAAAAATGACCAAACGAAAACAGAGGGGAAAATTTTATTTTGATATAAACCCAAATTCGCCCCTAAGAACTAGAATACGTTCGCTGTGTCTTGAGAGGCAAAATTATTATTGAATTTTTTTAATCACTTAAAATCCTAGTGTTTAAGAGGGCGTTATTGTAACATTTGTAAAAATCAGGGAGATTGTCTGTAATTTTATTCTCAAATAAAATTGTGGCCATTTACTGAAAATTAAATTGATTATTATTATTATTTTAATTATGATTTTGATGGAGACCCCGCAAAATTGTTGCCTCCACTCACAACCAATGTGGATCAGATAAAATCTAGGCGGATGATCGTGACAACGACAGACATTTTACCGAATTGAAGTTTCACGTGTTGCTCTTCAAAGCTGTTAACCACTTTGCTTGCCGATGTAGTGGAGTTGACGTGGCAGTCATCGGTGTTTACACGTAATTCCAAAAAGTGCAAAACCGAATTGGACGGTCATGGTTAATTCGCACGGGTGACCATTAAAGATGCATTTAGAGTAAAATTTATGTCCTGATCCCTGTTCATTTCATCGATTCGAGTTTAGAATTTAAGTTTTGTTACAGTAAAAAGTTTTCAAAAATAGTCACATCTAACTTTTTTATTACAGTAAAAAGTTCTCCTATAAAATCACATTTCAACTCAAATTATAAACTCGAATCAACGAAGTGAACGGGATATGATTCGTTATTCGTTACGGTGTTTTTTCTTATAAAAAACATATATAAATTAAAAATAATTCTAAATTTATTAACTAAACCCACCTTACAATTTAGGGAGAATACTTCTTAAGGAACAGCCACAGGTGGTTTTTTTTTTTTTTTGCGATGACCACGTCACCCGATAGGATTTCGGGTGGTAATGTTCGTCAGTTCTATTCATATGGCCAAACAAGAAGATGGTCTTTTTCCTTTCAAATCAATGCATGTTTGGTTCATGGATTAAAACTATGAGATTAGAACTATTTTTGATTTATGTGTGTTTTTTGTTAGAGAAAATACTGTAGCGAATCATGAACTATAATTCGAATCAGAGAACGAATCCTCCAACCAAACGGGCTACATCTCACATGCCAAAATAATACACAAATATGTATAAAAGTTCTTTTTTTTTTCCAGGAAAAATTATAGGCCAAACGTTTGAGATCCATTATTGAGGGCAGCCAGAGCCTAGATGAATCTGACAAATATTATCAGCTTAGAATAGAAAACCATTTGGAAAGTAAATAAGGAGATTTTTCTAGGAAGAATTGAAAACACGAATTACTGAGAAGATTTTATTTTCAAAAGTTAAATTTATATTTTATATTTTGCAAATCTTTTTCATATAATGTGATTTGTTTAGATTCAACAGTTATATATAACTCTACGGCCAAAGATGTAATTGAGTTATATCTACACATTTGGGCAAAAAAATGCACAATGAACCGCCAACACAGAATATGGCCGTACACAATTAATGGGAAATTAGCTTTGACTGACGGAAGATTTTTATTCGCAAAAGGAGAAAAAGGGAAGATTTTTGTTTCCAAACTATTCTAATTGTGGAAAAGATTCAAACAAAAAATTTAATTGTTTGGTTAGTGGATTCGTATTCTGATTTGAATCATAGTTCATGATTTGTTATAGTATTTTGTCTTATAAAAAACACACGTAAATTAAGAATAGTTCTGAATCATGATTCTGAATTTATGAACCAAACGTCCACTACATTTCTATAAGTAAGAGATTTTCCAACTTTTATTTTTATATAAAAAATGGTACACAGCGAATCTAAATTAAACTCGAAATAAGAGGATTAATTGCCAAATGTGGGGAGGCTCTAATTAGTGGTTTTAATTGGAAGGTGATCCGACTAGAACAATAGGAGGAAGAGACGGATACGGTGAAAACAACCTAATAAAGTTCAATGGCTTTTCGGGAAGATTTACCTAATAAAGTTCAATGGCTTTTCCGGAAGATTTAAAGTTCGTTTAATTTATTAATTTAAATTTATAATTTGAGTTGAAATATAATTTTATTTAAATTTTTTATTATAATAAAAAAATTAAATATAATTATTTTTAAAAAAAATTTATTATAATAAAACTTAAATTTTAAATTTAAATTAATAAAATGAACGGACTCTTAATTTTAAAAAATGTATTATTTTTTAGGTTTATTAAGCTCGAAATACGTGGAATTACAAATTAGTGAAATTACTCCTCAGTTCAGACAAAGACGTAAATTAATATCTTAAAAAAAAAATTTGGGACAAAAAATAAATTAAAAATAAAAAGCGCATGAAAAGGACGTTCCAGTTGTATCCAATAGGGGCCCACAAGTGTGCACTTATAAAAAGGGCGTTCCAGTTGTATCCAATAGGGGCCCACAAGTGGGCACTTTTTTTCTTTTTCTTTTTTTTTCTTTTTTTTTTCTATCCTTCCCTTTGCCTTTTCATAGAAGATGATCCTTTCTGAGGAATCAATCACTAAAGACCAGCCTAGCCTAGCCACAGCACTATCTCTTTTACTTCTCGAATCTATTCCCATTCGCTCTTTCTTTGCCTATCCCTTACCTTCGTATTTTTCTATTCCATTTTTCCACTCGTATCTCTCTCCTTTTATTACTTTTGTTTCACTTATTTTCCCTCCCAAGACCAGCGTTTTTATTTGGTTCTTTCTTCACCTGTTTCGGCCAAAGTTTGCGTCTGTCTGCCCAAGTCGTTAATCCCAGAGAAAACCCATCAAATTACCCGTTTTTGGAATCTGGGTCTTGCGTTTTTTATTCCGATTCCGTTTGTTTTCACCGTTTTCGGTTGGTTTTAGAAGCCTGAGATTTTTTTTTTTTAAAAATTATCTTGGATTTGGAGTGGATATTAAGTTGTGTCTGGTTCATGGGATTTCCGAGCGATTTTCAAGAGATAATAGCTTTGTGTTGAATTGGAGAAAAGAAGGATGAAGAGAGGGAAAGATGAGGAGAAGATAGCGGGACCCATGTTCCCAAGATTACATGTAAATTATGCAGATAAAGGAGGGCCAAGAGCGCCTCCAAGGAATAAGATGGCTCTTTATGAGCAACTCAGTATTCCATCTCAGAGGGGCAATTCTGCTTCTGGGGTTGTTCCTCTCAACCCCAAATTCTCAGCCAATTCGGTTCCCTCATCATCCCCAAGTCAGGTAATTCATGAACACTTTTTTTTTTTTTTTCAAATTGAATGATATTTTTGCCATTTTGATAGGTTTGAGTTTTGTTCATGGGGTTAGTTGAAGAACTTCTTACTGGGATCACATATAATTTGAGGGGAGAAATCAGGTTTCAGTTAGCCTTTAGTGTTATAAGATATAACTAGTGGGCTTCTTCGTTTAGAGTTTAACTTGAATATAATTTTTGAGTTAAATTCGAGTTATAATTTGAGTTGAACTTGTAACTTGAGTTTGTGTTTGGTTGTGTACATTTGAGTTATGATTTGAGATAAGAATCTTTTTGAGTTTGTGTTTGAGTGAGTCAAAATTTGAATTTATATTTATATAGTATTTTAATAAAAGCTCAATGCTGATGAAAAATTTATTAGGGTATATGAGTCAGGTTTTATTCGTATTTTCGTTATCAATGCATAGAAAAAAAAAATCATCTCAATCAGAATTAAAACAAAAAAGTTATAGCATTTTTAAGAATAGAAAAAATACTGTTCATTAATTTGAGTTCGAGTTTCTGAACTCGAGTTGAAAGAGAAACTTGAACTTGAGTTTTAGTCCTAAACTCGAATTTGAACTCGAGTTTAAACTTAAAAGAACATGAACTCAAATAAAGTTGTAATTCGAGTTGTCTTTTTTTGAGTTTTTCACTCAAAAGAACAAGCCTTTGGAGTTGAAAATCAACTTTTATAAGTTATTTAGGAGTTCAAAAGGAGCTATATATTATTATGTGCAACTCAAATCTTCGTATATAATTTACCTTGTACTATTAGTATTAGGCAGTAAAGTTCTTCGAGACAATATGTGTATGTATATGGGGTGGGCTAGCAAATGATTTGGGCATCCCTTATTTTGGGTATTTTTATTATTTGTTTATTTATTCTGTTTGTAGGGAAGTGGTTTTGAGAGAAACTTGTTTTTTCCACGTCACTTGCCTCCATCAACACCAACTCATTGGTCTGAAAAGTGTCACGCTCATCATTCTGATGTAAGAAATGGAAATAATATGGAGGCACGACTTGAACAAAGAAAGAAGGTTGGAGACAAAGATGATTTTATGGTTCCTGTATTTGTTCAAGCTAGGGTGGGTAAGAGCAGTGATAAAACTCAAAACACCATTGATAGGGAATCAGTTTCTTCCATGAGCTCTCCTTGTTCCGGACAGCCAGTGGAGCGGCAAAATATCTCTAAAAAGGATCCTAAACAAGATAATTCAGTGGCTGTCAATTTTAGACAAGAGATGAGAAGTGAGAGAAAAGAGAACATGAAAGGATGTGACCGAAGTGGGAATACTGTAATATCTGCCACAGATCAATCAAACAGAGAAATGATCGACGGGGCTATGAAGGAAGCAAAAACATCTTCGAATCAAGCGCATCGAGGGCGTGCTGTCTCTAATTTGAGCAGGTCACATGATGGCGACGTGTGCTCAAATCAAGACTCTAGAGTTGGAGCACGTCTATATAGTTCTAGACAAGATGATGACCGTGTCGATTCTACCAGGGATATTGAGGGGGCAAATACTTCCCAGTCGAGGAGTGTGTCCCTCTGTAGAGAGGATCATGGCAGGCCTGGTGAAACTGAGAATGTTAGCAAACAGAATAGCAATAGCAACAGGACATGCATTTCCTTGCAGCTTGAAAATGCAGATAAAGGGGATGATCTCTCTGAGACCTCAGTGGTGGACTCCATATCTGACTTCCATATCTCTCCTGATGATATTGTTGGAATTATAGGTCAAAACCATTTCTGGAAAGCAAGAAGAGCAATTGTCGAGTAAGTATCTTTGCTTTTTAGTCTCTTGATTCTTCTAACTAGTTTTATTATGAATCTCTCTCTCTTCTTTTATTTTCTCTGAACTATTACCTATATAAGTAATGGATACTTTTGTGTACTTTGGCCTTGTGGGTACTCATTTCTGTTGAATTGTGTTGATTAACTTAATCAACATGAGAAAAATGCAAAACTTAGTACATACCTAAAACCACGACAGTCTTCTCATCCCCTAATAAGCTAGGGAACGAGTATCTCGAATTATAGATAATTGGAATTGACATAAAGTATTGAGGTCTTTTATTATCTGTTTGGATTATCTTTTTCTTCCTGTCCTTGCGTCACAAGTTAAAATTTTAGATTGTTGTATTCTCTATGGAATGTAACTACTAGGAGTATTAGTTGACTACTAATGTAAACACGGCTCGGAGGGAGGAAAAACTTATACACTGTGAAGTCCTGGCATCCCTTCTAAAATGAACGTTGAATGTGTTGAAAGGCCCTTGATAAAATTTAGCTATGGCCACTGGATCATGCAGGGAAATGTCAAGCTGGCCCCCGAGACACTGGATAGTTTCATTATTCATTACCCCTCTGGCGGCATCACTCTCTCTTCTTCTTTCTTTTTCTTTTTTCTTTTGGGTTGTTGGGGTAGTGCTTGGCTTTCCCCCCTATGTACTGGGAAATTTTGCTTTTCATAAACTCGAGGGCTGGGAGCCAGGAGGAAGTAAGTGATGGAGAAATGTCATTTGGGTCGAGTGGATATTGTTGAACATTGACATTGTGGAATTGGTGGTGGCTTCGTGATGAGGAGAATTGGTGGGGGTTCGGTTCGTTAGCTGGTATTTGTTTAGTCATTCAGATAGTGACTGGCGTTTTTTTAGCTATGCATCACACACCTCATGTGGATCTAGCTTTCAACAGCGTATAACACGTTATGAGAGATGTTGAAGGGGGCTGGTTGCTCCGTTATATGCATGCTAATGGGGCAAGTATGTACCCAGTTATTGGACGTTTCAGAACCCTGTCTCTGACATTATTCCCATCCCTCGGGAACAATTCCGGTTACAACTCCTTGAGTACAAGACGGCACTGATGATCCCGGCTATCCGAAAAACGCAGACTGAAGCGGAGGATCACAAAATGCAACACAACAAGGGGCGAACCAAGCACTTGCGCGAAGGAAGAAGTGAATCAATCAGAATGGAGACAGAGAGGAGAGGCGAAAGAGAGATTTCGAGCCTGCAAGCTCTAAGCATAGCATTTCTGGTCGAACCTGCCCAACCCAACTAAGAAGAACCGAACCTGACAGACACATCTTTTTCCTTTTGGGACATACCACATATGCCTCAGCCAAACATGCTATCTAAGTCCTTGCAGAGATATGAGTACTGATTCTGATGTTCTCGCTTCTCATAGTAGGGCTCCCGGGCGGTTAGCCTTCTCGACTAGCTCTGGTGCTGGAAAGATGAGAATCTTCGCTATATGTAATTATGTTATTCAACGTCTTCTGCGACCAGTCCATGACTTCCTAATGAAAGTCTGAAGGACTCTTCCAGTCGACCAATTCCTCTACCCCGCTTCTTCCCCTTCTCTTTCTTTCACTATTCCCACCTACCAGCTTTGGTTGCTTGGCCGGGATAGAACCAGCGTAATTTCTCATATGAGTATCTAATTATTCTCCATTGAAGCATTTCTGGAGTTCGGATTCCTGTTGTTCTTAGTTGGTATTCAGATTATTTTTCTCCCTCGTGTATATTCTCTATTATCTCCTCCATTTTCTGTTTTTCTGCCTCCTTATTAATTTTTAGGTATATTTTTTGCAATAATGACAGCTTTAAATTTGTAAAAGTCAACTATAAAGCTGTGTCTTGCATATATGTTCTAACTTGTTGCACCGAGGATACTGTTTACTCACATGTACGTGTTCCTGTCTGAATATATATCTCATAAATGACAGTTGTTTTTCAAGCTGCTATCACATTATTGATTATTGTAATACCCTTTTCATTTGCAAAGATTCTTGCTAAATTCATAGAAATTTGTTTTTGATCCATTTCCTGTTACTCTCTACAGTCAGCAAAGAATGTTTGCAATGCAAGTTTTTGAGTTGCATAAATTGATAAAGGTACAATGGTATTTGATTCTTCATCTATTCTGGTCGCAATTAGAATGTTTATTGTGCAGATCACGTAAAGCCTAACCTTTTCGTTTCCCAATAGGTCCAAAGACTGATTGCTGGATCACCTCATCTCTTGCTTGAACATGGTGCTTTCTTGGGAAAATCTACTTTGAAGAGCTCACCAACAAAGAAGCTCATACCAGAGTTTGTTGTAAAGCCACTCCCTCGTGTGGCCAACTGCAAAGGCGATTTTGAAAAGCCAAATGAGAAAATGGAATGTTCTGCGGAAAATGCAGTTAGCAAGACTTCTCTTTCTTCAGCGAAAACTGGTAGTCAGTCATTTAGTTATCCGCCATATGCAGGAAATCCCCAGCCAGTGGTTACAAGACCTGATAATAAAATGGGCCCTTGGTGTTTCCATCAATCACCAGGGCCTCAGTGGTTGGTTCCTGTGATGTCTCCTTCCGAAGGACTTGTATACAAGCCTTATCTGGGTCCTGGATTACCGGGAGCAGTTTATGGAGGACACGGACCTTTTGGCTCGACTCCTATGCCAAGTAATTTCCCGAATTCAGACTTTGGAATTTCAGCTTCTCATCATCAAGGAATTGAGGTTTTTCCTGGCACTTCTCCCGTTGGTCATACATACATTCCTCCATATGGCATGCCTGTCATTAATCCAGCCATGTCTTGTTCGGCTGTTGAACAAGTGAACCAGTTTGCGGGAACTAGTCCAGTACCGGGAGAGATGGTGGCAAACTTGAACACGGAGCAACAAAGCTCTTGTAGTGTGCCAGCCCGTGAGAATGGATCTGAATCCCAACCTCGAAAGTTTCAGGCATCCAAAGGCAGTGAATTACAAGGAAGTACGGCTAGCAGTCCTGGTGATAGAGCACAAGGAGTCGAAATCGGTCACAATGCCAAAGTAAGAGACCCTCTTCTGCTGTTTCCCAGGGCTCCCGTGGTTCCAGAGGATGCTTCCCAGCCTCATGAGGCTGCTGCCCCGCCACCGCCCCAAGTGATCAAAGTTGTGCCACACAATCCTAGGTCTGCGACCGAATCAGCTGCTCGAATTTTCCGATTTATACAGGAAGAGAGAAAACAGTACAACCTCGTCTAGTTTGATCGCTTTCTGGAAGATGATCGTCGATGCTGGTGCTCTCCTGTCCTATGTCCGTTTTGGGTAAGCTAATTGTGTAACAGATATAACAGATCTTTTTCATAATTGTTTTACTTTTTGACCAAATTGTAGTATATGAAGATTGTAGATAGCTCTGGAATATCACAACTGCTAAATGAAATATGTTCATATGGTAGTCTCATTTCAAAAGTTCCCTGTTCCAAGTATTGGGAGTAGCATCGACATTTGCTTTTGGAATGAGAGGGATGAAATATCACCTATGAGCTTGATACTTGTTTGTTCGCAGAAATATTTACTGAGTTCACATGTATGAATTTTATAAAGAGAATATCGATCCAAAATGTCATGTTCTGGTCGATTTTTTTTTCCCCTGATTGAATTCACGGGCTTTATAACAGTTCCACATAATATTTCACACCATTTATAATGTATTCTTACGAACTTACAAAAATGAACTAAGGCGCGCACCATTCAGCCTGTTTCCACGCTTTCGGAGTTGTCTGCAAGGCAACCGCCATTTTTAAGACAGATTTGAACAGAGGTTGTGTATTTTTTTTTTCTTCTTTTTTAATTCATTAGCCAGATTTGAACAGAGTTTTGTACTCGTTGTCTGAGACAATAAATGGATTCCGAAGATTTATATCTCTCTTTTTTTTTTTTCAGTGAACAACGAGAATAACATAAATGAAGCTTTTTTTTTTTTTTTTTTTTTTTTTTTTGGGTGGAGTTGGTTAGAGAAGAATAATAGACATTAGACCATATGTTAGAGATCTGTCATTGAGGGCAGCTCAATGCATCTGGCGAAATATTATTATCAAAACAGAAGAAGAGAAAAAAAAATCTCGCAACTACATAAAAAAAAAAAAAAAAAAAAAAAAAAAAACCCCAAAAAAAAAAAAAAAAAAAAAAAAAAAAAAAAAAACCTATAGAAAGGAGCATGCTTACATAAGATGCTCATGCAAGTATGTTGTAATATTTTCCAATGCCAAGGTTTATTGTTTTTCCGATAAATAATTAATAGACTTTCTTTCAAATTCCTATTTTCGTTGACAAATTTTTTGGTACCGTGCCGGATAAAGTGAGTACCTTTTAAGTTTATTTTCTCACCTTGACTTGACATTTACATAAAATTTCTTGTAAAGCTCATGAAATATAATTAATAAAAGAATTATTTTTATAAATGTCCCTCAAAATATGCCCCTCAAGAAAAAAGGAAAAAACTCTTATACTTCTCTATAGAGACTTTTGGTATGCACTAATAAGATTACCATATTTAGTACAAGAATTATAACTTTTATATTCTCAAGAAAGTGAATATTCACTTTCTCTTTTTTAGATAATTTGAATACTACCCAATAAAGTGTTATATAAAGGGGGTTTCCCATAATTGCTTGCCTAAAGTATTCCTAATTTTTTTTTAAAACAATTCAAGTATTCTTAATTTAGACTTTAGAGACCAACACATTTTTTATTTGAGTTCCGCAGTGTTTGAATTCGAAGGATCTCATGTTACACACAAGCAAGAAAAAATAGAAAGTTGGAAGGAGCAAAAAGGGGAAAAAAGAGTAAAGAATCTAATTGAGCTAACCTTAATGGAAACTATAAATTATAAAAATAGATTTCCATCACTTGTTTAATTTTTAGTGTTTTAAAATAATATTTAATTAAACTTGTCACTTTAATTAAAAAATAAATAAAATGCTGTTCAGATGAAACGTGCTTTAATGTTTGAGTCCAACATGACATAATATAACACTCTATTTAATACTCTAAATTAAATATGAAATAAATCTATAAAAATGTTAAGAGTAATCTTTTCACCGGATGTGAGTTTGAGAATAGCTATTAAATTAAAAAGAACGTAAAAAGAAAAGAAAGGAATTTCACTTCATTGTGGAATAGTAATGACATTGAACATATCTATCTTCAATTCAAGACAAGTCGATTAACAACAATTTTTTTTTCAAATGGAGCTAATCTGTTTATGGGCCGCACAAATGAGTGAAATTATAAATTTTTCTTTAAGTTGAGAAAAAGACATAATATTATCTCAAAAGATTAAACACACCCAAAAAAAAAAAAAAAAAAAAAGTAGTCAACAAATTCAGGTTATTTTTGAAGTAAAAAGAGGCTTCTTGTTCTATCCACAGAGGGTCCACAAAGTCGGACCTTTTTGCTCTTACCCTTTACAAAGAAGACGATCCATCCGTGAAATCCCTAATTCCAGAAACCAGAACAGCGACCAAACCTAATTTTCCTACTTTCCTTTCCACTTTCCAAATCAACTCTCTCTCTCTCTCATCTGTTTCTGACACAGATTAATCTCCCCAAGTGCTTAAATCTCATTTTTGAGTTTCCGAGAGTTGGGAAATAAATAATCACAAGTTGAGTTGGAGTTTCGGTTGATGGAATTAGAAAGGAAGATATGAGCAGAGGGAAAGATGAGGAGAAGATAGTGGGACCCATGTTCCCAAGATTACATGTAAATGATGCAGATAAAGGAGGGCCAAGAGCGCCTCCAAGGAATAAGATGGCTCTTTATGAGCAACTCAGTATTCCATCTCAGAGGGGCAATTCTGCTTCTGGGGTCGTTCCTCTCAACCCCAACTTCTCAGCCAATATGGTTCCTTCGGCTACCTCAAGTCAGGTAATTTACGAACCAAATTTATTTGGTTCTTTGGATTGTTTCCCCCTTTTTTTGTTGTTGGTCTTTTGTGAATTGTGTTTTTATTGATGATGGTTTCTTATAAGGTTTTAGTTGAATTATTTTTTCTGTTCTTGGTACTTACATTACATAAGGCTATGTTAGGGAAAGAAAGATATGTGACCTATGTGAGGAAAATGAGAGGCTAGAGAGGACCTTTATTGTGTTTGGTATGGAAATATGGATTTTAGTCTAATGTAATGGAAAGATTAAAATTGGGTATTTTCAAGGATTTGAAATTCCTCATCCAATCTATTCCCCTCATCTTTTATCTCTTACCAAACAATCATGAATCCCAAAATCCTTAATCCCCCACCCCTCTCTCCTACCAAACAAGCTCTAAGTGTTGACAAGGATGATGCATGGTTTGAGGGGTAAAATAAGGTTTTCTTATACATTAAAAAAACTTGTGGTTTACTGTTAGGCAGTACAATCTTTGAAGCAGTGTGTGCATATGTGGGTTGGGCAAATATGAGCTTGGCGTCCCTGATTTTTTGGGTTTTTTTATTTTTTTTTTTTTTATTTTTATTTTTTTTTAAATTTTTTTTTATAGGCAAGTGGTGTTGAAAGATATTTAGTATATCCGCGTCATTTACCCCCATCAACCCCTACCCATTGGTCTGAAAAGTTCCAAGCTCGTCATTCTGATGTATTATTGTATGGAAATGCTCCGGAGGCACAGCTTGAACAGAGAGAGAAGGTTGAACGGAATGAAGATTTTATTGTTCCTGTATTTGTTCAAGCTAGGGTCAATCAAAGCCATGATAGAAGTCAAAACAGTATTGGCAGGGAAACATTTGCTTCCATTAGCTCCACTCGTTCTGGGCAGCCAGTGGAACAACAAAGTATCTCTACTAAGGAGCCCAAACATAATAATTTTACTGCTGTCAGTAAAAGACAAGACGTGAAAAGTGAGAGCAACGAGAACATGACGACATGCGGCGAAAGTGCGAGGGGTTGTGTCATATCTGCCACAGATACATCGTCCAGAGAAAATACTGATGGGCTCTTGAAGGAAGCCAAAGCAACTTCAAATCAACACCGTGGAGGGCATGTCGGGTCTAATTTGAGCAGGTTACATGATGGAGAAGCTTGCTTACATCAAGATTCGAGAACTAACAGACAACTAGATAGTGCCAAACGGGGGGATGATATTGTTGACTCTACAAGGGATATAGAGAGGGAAAATGCCTCCCAGCCAAGAAGCGAGTCCTGTTGTGAGGAGGATAATAGTGGGCCCAAGGAACCTGAGACTGATAGTAAATATAATAGCAATAGCAATAGGACGTGCATTTCCTCACAGATTGAAAATGTCAATAAAGGCGATGATCTCTCTGAGACCTCAATGGTCGATTCCATATCAGGCGTGGACATCTCTTCTGATGATGTTGTAGGAGTAATAGGTCAGAAACATTTCTGGAAAGCAAGAAAAGCGATTACCATGTAAGCACTCTTTCTCTATAGACTTTTTTTATTTTTATTTTTATAAATGTTGCCCTGTATATACACACACACTCTCTCTCACACACACAGACCTGTATTTGAACTAGTAAAATATATTTTACTGGAGTAATGAATATTAGTGTCTTTGCTTTATGAATACTTATTTTCATCTAGTAATGCCAATTGACTGTATCAATGTGAGAAAATTGCAAATTTGTTTCATTCATAAAACCACACGGCAATCTTTTCATCTTGTATTAAGTTTCTGGAAATGTTCTATTGACTATTTATGTCTCACGGGATTATCTTTTTCTTTATGTCCTAACATTCTTAGTTAAGTTACACTTTAGATTGTTGTATTCGCCATGGAATATAGCTACTAGGACAATAAAATGATGGCTAAGGTGAATACGGCTTGGAGACAGGTGAGATTTGTATTTTGAAGTCCTGGGATCCCATCTAAAGTGGAATTTTTATGTGTTGAAAGGCCCTCGATAACATTTTAACTTTGGATACTGGATCATCTTACGGCAGGGAGATGTCAAGGCAACCACCGAGACAGCGGATGAGCTCATATTTCGTTAGCTCCATCTGTTTTCTAGATATATTCCTGTCTCGGTTCGGTAGTGCTTGGTTTTCCCTGTGACTACTGCGGAAATTTTCTTTCCATGGGACTCGAGGGCCAAGAGTCAGTAGGCAAACAAGTGGTGGAGGAGTGTCATTTGGACCAGATGGACTTGGAGAACATTGACGTTGTGGAATTGATGGCGGTTTTGTGATGAGGAGAGTAATTTCTCATAGAACGATCTTATTTTCTTAGCTGGGGTTGGGATCCCTGTTGTTCTTACTTGGTACTCGTCAATGTATATTCTGAAAGCATTGTACCTTTTTTTTTTTTTTGGTATCATGATTAGATGCATTTTTTTAAAATCTTTTGCAATCAAAACGAAGCTATAAATTTGTAAAAATCAACTGTGGCGTTAGTCTTGCATTACCCTTCTAACTTTGGTGTACCGAGGATAGTGTTTGAGAACTGTTCACATTTACTTGGTCTAGTTTTGTAATATATTTTGTTAACAAAATTTGATACTGGTAGCATGAAATGACGAAGAGAGGTATATGTAGCTCTTTAATTTGCGAGATAATAATAATGTGTAATATCTTTGTATTGCATTTAGCTTCCATTTTCCTTTTATTGCTCTGAAGATGTTGATATATATTCGTGATAGAATTCTAAGGCAAAAGTTTTTTCAAAGATGTGAATATATGCTAGCTTGACATCTATTGCATGTTTCTCCCATGTGCACTACTCAAGAAATTACATATTCATGCATGCGCTCATTGTAGTTAATGTGGGGGATTGGTATGGAAGGTGATGGTATATGGAGTTAGAGGTTCCAGGCTTTGGTGAGAGACACGGGTTTTGTTGTCATCATACTTTGTCTTTAAGTCATTGTGGAAACCCTAAGCCAAAAAAGGGGTCATTGTGGAACATTTCTATTGTCTGTGAGACATTACCATAAGTCAGATTGGTGCACCCCTCGGCTATCATCCAGACATCTGAGAAGTTTTGCGAATGTAGGATCAATGATGTGTAAGGATGTACTAAGCTCTGATTCTTTTGTTTGGATTTCTCAATAAATGGCTGTTCTTTAAGACTTCTGAATCCATGATTCTGCATTATATCCAGATGATTCCTGTGTTACATTCAGTTGGTTTTGACTTTGTCAAAGAGTATTGCTAATTTTATGAAATTTTGTTCTTGATCAAACTCCTGTTACTCTCTACAGTCAGCAAAGAGTGTTTGCAGTACAAGTATTTGAGTTACATAGATTAATAAAGGTATGATGATCTATAATTCTTCTGTTAAGATGCTGTAGCTTGTTGTGAATGGTATTTATTCAGACAGGAGACCATGTCTAGGTTTTAACTTTTAATCTTCCAATAGGTCCAAAGACTGATAGCTGGATCACCACATCTGATGCTTGAAGATGGTGCTTTCTTGGGAAAATCTTCCTTAAAGGGTTCTCCAGTGATGAAACTCCCGCCGGAGTATTGCATAAAGTCACCCCCTCGTGTTTCTAATTGCAAAGACGATTCCAAGAAGCCAAACCATAAAATGGAATGTTCTGCAGAAAATGCTGTTGGGAAAACATCTCTTTCTTCTGTGCAAAGTGGTAGTCAGTCTTTGAATTATGGACCTTATATGGGAAATCCACAGCCAGTGGTTGCAATGACGGATAATAAAATGGGTCCTTGGTCACCAGGGCCTCAATGGTTGGTTCCTGTAATGTCTCCTACTGAAGGACTTGTATACAAGCCGTATTCTGGACCTGGGTTAATGGGAACATCATGTGGAGGGTATGGACCATTTGGCTCCGCCCCTGGGACGGGTAATTTTGTGAGTTCATCATATGGAATTTCAGCTTCTCATCCTCAAGGATTTGGGGTTCACCCTGGCACTTCTCCAGTTTGTCATACATACTTTCATCCATATGGCATGCCTGTCATTAATCCAGCCACTTCAGGTTCAACCGTTGAACAAGCGAACCCGTTTGTGAGACCAGATCCACAAAGTCAAACTGGTCCGGCACTGGGAGGGGGAGTCAACTTAAGCATGGAGCAACAAAGCTTTTGCCATGTGCCAACGCAGAAGAATGGATCAGTTTCCCAAGCCACGAAGCTTCAGGCATCTGAAAGGAATGATTTACATGGGAGTACGGGCAGCAGTCCTGGTGAGAGAGCAAATGGAGTTGGGATCCTTCACAATGCCGAAGAAAGAGACCCTCTTCCGCTTCTTTTTCCTATGGCTCCTGTGGTTCCGGAGGGAGCTACCGATTCCCAGGATGCCAACCAGCCAACCCGAGTAATCAAAGTTGTGCCGCACAATCCCAGGTCTGCAACCGAATCAGCTGCTCGAATTTTCCGATTTATACAGGAAGAGAGAAAACAGTACGACTCTGTCTAAGCTCATTTCCTGTAGGTCACTTTTTGGTATGGTCTTGGAGTTCTCTCCTATGTCTTTCTTGGGTATGGTAATTTTGTAATGGGATCTCTCTTTCCTTTTCTTTTTTTTTTTTTTTTTCTTTTACCAGAATCGTAAACTCGTGTAGATAGATAGCTCTGGAAGATGACCAGCTGGTCAATGTAATATGAATATGTCTTTTCAAATTGCGTGTTCTAAGTTTTGGGGGTAAGTGGAGGCAGAATTTTGAAATTAGAGGATGAGTTTGTCGCCTATGACGCTTTTGTTTTATTCAGCAAGAAAAAAAAATCGATGATTTTTGTGTTTGCATATTGCAGTTAGAAAAATATCTTAAGTAATAAAATCTGTAAACTGGGTCACATTACTGGTGATACATGACATTGTTATTATAATATGCATCACACATAATATTAAAACTTAAGCATCAAGAAATTAAATGAAAAGCGACCAAAAACTTACAAGTCCTTTTTTTGAAAGAAGAAAAAGTGACCAAAAACTTGAGGGAGCCAATTCTCGACTTATGAAAATTAATGACATTTTAATTTATTCTCATGGGCACAAAGTATTTCTACCAGGGCCTCCAAAATAAAGCACAGGTTCAACTGTGTATCCCTCGATGTAGTTGTAAGCAGAGTAGCAGTAGGCTTGGTCTGCCCAAGTGTTTACCCTTTCCGGGTACTTCAACGACATCGAATAATCCACAATTCTCACGCCTTTGATATAACACGCTCCGCCGTGCAATGAGGATGCAAATTCTCCACTTCCCATGGCTGTCTGGGGGTGAGGATGTGTCCACATGTTGGGGCTATAGACTTCACCACCCCATTGCACTAGAATGGCGCTGTGTTTCAGATAGGAGAAGAGAGTCCCTGGCCAGTAGCCAGCAACAACTCCGTCGCCGAGTTTGAGCCACCAGTTGCTTGTGTTTGGATCCTGGGAAAATTGGATTGCTTTTATTGAGTCATGACTTGTAAAAAGAAAAAAAAAAATAAAGTGTGCAAAGTACAAAAACGAGATATCCAGTAACAAGTACACAAATTTTGTTACCATGTTGATGCTAACTGTGAATTGGTACTGGGGTCCACCATCACTGGAAATAGGTCCAAGGGCAGTGCCAAGGGCTATCTTTGGATTAGTTTGCACAAATCCAGTGCAGGTGAGGTCAAAGCAACCGGTTGATTTGTATGCATCAAGCTAGCCAAGAAACAGAAACAGAATTTAGATGAAAGACATTTGATTAATGGATTTTTTTTTTTTTCATATGATTTTTCTGTCAATTTTGAGGTACTCACAGTCCAATATATGAAGAGCCGTGTTTGTGTATCACCATATAACTTTGGATTTACCTGCCAAAAAAAAAAAGGTACTGCTGAAATGAATTTGCAAAATGGAAATCAAACTCGTACTTTGCTAATAATTATGAACTAATTAATTAACTCACCACCCAGCCTGCTTCAATGCTTTCAAAGCCGTCGGAAATGCCAGCCTTGAGCCAGATTTGAGCGGTTGTGTACTCGTCGGGTGATGCAACATGCGGGTTCCAAAGATTTATGTCTCCTTGAGCACCTATGTAATTGTACCCTACTGTTACAAGTAGAGCCGCCTTTCAGGGTTCAAAGAGCACCAAAGATAAATATCCCATTAAGGAGAATTCTATAAAATATGCTGATAAGATTTTGTTTTGAACCGTTAAAATCAGTATGAGATTTTGTTAACTTTAATTTTTTGTTTTCCCATTTTGATGTGCTTTTGATTATATTTTACAATAAAAAACATACATTAAAGTCCAATTTTTCTAGAAAGGAAATGACGAGAGTAACGGATTCAATGATTATTCTCTTACTATTTATAAGCAATTAAATGTGCACTCAAAAATGGATATAAGCAAATAATATGTGCTCAAAAAAGGAATGATAATAATTGTTTACGATAGAGCATGAAACATGCATTATTAGTAAGGTTTTATTTTGAACTGTCATATTGATATTAGATTTTGTTAATTTTGCATTTTTTTTCCTATTCTGATGTGTTTTTGACTATATTTAACGTTTTAAAAACATGTATTGGTGTCCAATTTCAATAAGCCTAGAAAGGAAATGCCAAGAGTAATTCATTTAATGATTATTCCATTACTATATACAAGCAAATAAATGTGTGCTCAAAAAAGGAATGACGAGAATTGCTTACAGAGCGGTTGACTTGTTGAGCGAGCGCGACTTTGGTGTTGTTTATGAAAATTGGGCCATTTGCTTGGGCCGTAGTTGTATTTGTTTCGTAGTAAGTTATTGGGCTCTTTTTGCCGTATCGTTCGAGAGAATCAGCTCTCAACAAATCTTCACTTCGGATTCTCCGAATGGGAATGGTTCCTTGGGGACAACTTCCGCTTCTTTGCCAAATTTGATACACAACTTGCTCAGATTTAGTCTCGTCTTTGGTGCTTGGTGTTTCTGATGCTATACTAAAACTGGGTTTCATCTGCTTATTATTATTATAAAATATAATCAAAATGTATGAAATGACAATTTATAAAAAATATTTCGTGAAGAGAAAAGGATAGAGAGTGAGAGGATGCACCTGGATTGTGTGGTTCCGCAATGCTGGATGATCAAAAGCAGGCTGTTTATAGATGTCAACACAGTCGATGATATCTCCATCGCTACTCTGCAAAAAAAAAAATTAGCAACAATAAAAACATCAACTTTTTTTACGCTAGATATATATATATATATGATATCTATGTATATAATAAAAAATGAAACAGTGATAATCCTTTTGTTTATGAATCTTTATAGATTATTTTCGCAAAAGTTTACTCATAAACTAAAAAACCCATCACATAATTTAGTCTAAAAGGAAAAAAGAAAACCACTTCATGGCAAATAATAAATATATTCAAACCTTAATACTCTTGACCGCTGGCTTATTTAGAAGCTTCAACTTCATATCAACTTCAAGAGTTTGTCTGGTAACTCTAGCCTTGGCATGTAATACTTTATCACTGAAAACAAGAAAAAACAGTGTCAATAACAAAATGAGCATAGTCATTTTCTCTTTTTTTTTTTTTTTTTTTTTTTTTTTTTTTTTTTTTGCTCTCTCTTCTTTTTTAATCTTTCTTGCATGCACAAGCAAAGAGTACAGGAGATATAATCGAGTGTTAAGAACGGTTATATATACAGCCAAATTGTTTGGCTCTAACCATATAATTATCTTTTGCAGGCTCATTATTAGGCTTCTATAGCAGTCTTTTTACTTATTTTGTCACCAATTATAATCGACAAATAATTAAGGACATTCCATATACTATAGGTTGATTGAAGGACGCATTACATTTATTTTGGAGCGAGTATAGAAAGCTGGGTCTTATCTGTATTCAGTTACTCATCAATGTTTTCTAAATTGTTGTGTAAGGGAAAATAATTTTGTTAGTGAATAAAAAAATTTCAAATACATCAATATGCATGCATGTATCGGCACTATGCCAGCAAGATCCTTTTGGAAAATATTTGTGTGTCAATTGACCTGTATTATTAAGAGAAAACATTTTCCTAAACAAGTTTCGCTATAACGGAGTAATAATCTTTCTGACAAAAACAATCTTCCATACTAGGAGATATTCCTAGATAGTGAGAAAAAAAAGGGGGAAGGAAATTTAACATTGTTTTTAGCCATGTTTGTTTTAACAACTCAAATTGTTGTTTAAAATTCAAATTTTAGTTCAGGATTTAAATTGGTGTTTGAGAGAAAAATTTAAAAACAATTCAAACCATTACCAATGGTTCAATGACAACTCAAACTGTTGATTTTAGAATTCACCTTCCTCCTAAATTCTAATAATATGAATTGTTATCAATAGTCTACAACTTTCAGATTTTACTTTTTCTTTCTCTTCAATTTCAATATTAAAAATATCATAACTTTTACGTTTCAATTCCGATTGAGATGATATTTTTAATGTGTTCATATAAAGAGAGGAACAAATCCTCACCCATGCTGCATATTTTTTAATGTCATTTATACTGAGATTTTATAAGATTTGTTACAAATCTCTAATGGTAATTTTCAACACTTTATCTAAACATAGTTCAAATTTTATTTTCAATTCAAATTACAATTTATTTGCATATTCAAACAACAGTTCGGATCACAGTTTGAATCACTACAGTTCAGATTCTACAGCTCTAACAAAAAAAAGTTTAAATCTCCACAATTTGAGCTATTGAACCAAACAAGCCCTTAATTTTTAAACAGTCAAAAGTCACATTGTCAAATGTCAACTTTACAATCCATGCCAATTACTTAACAATCTATCCGTCCATTACCACCATTACTATTAACGATGACACAGATTTACAACATGACATTTCCTAGTTTAATAATCCATATAAATCGATATATAAACGTTTCTCATACACCCACATTACTAGATAAGAACCTCGTGACTATGTACTCTACTCTAGCTTCCAGCAGCCATTGCAAATATTAGCTCACGATCATGGTAGAGGGGCTTTTTTTTTTTTCCCCTTATTAGAATAAAGAAATTGTCGTCTGTAAGTTATTTTCTTGGAATTTTGTTTTCTCATTGTTCACAGTGATTGTCGTTTGTAGTATTATTTGTCGTTTTTAGTGAACTGTGTCATTTGACATTTAGTTTTTGGTAGAATTGGGTGTCGTTTTTTATTTTTTTTATTGTTGTCGTATAGCCTAAAGATCTCGTCGTCTGTAAAGTCTGCTTTCGTTATTGTGACCTATTGTCATAAAAAAAACTTATTTGCCGTTTCATGAGAATTTATGGTCGTCATAAGCTATTAGAGTTGTCGTAGTGATATTCGTTTTTCATCATGCATGTCGCTTTTATGTGATTGTCATATTCGTTTTTCATCCTGTATGTCGTGTGTTATGTGATTGATTCCCGTTGTAGTTTGGTTGCTAGAATTATTGTCGTTTTTTAAGGGGTCCTTTTGATGTGTTTCGGATAACTAAAAATTTCATATCGCTCTATAGAGTCGTTATCATTTCTTGTAGTAGTTGTCGTTTGTTTTTCTCCGCATTCTTGTCGTTTATGTTCTGTTGTGATGTCAAAATTGTTGTCGTTTAAGGGTAATTTGTCGTTTCTGTAGAAGTTTTCAGATTTTCTTAGTTCATCTTTTATTGTCGTTTATGGCCAAATTCCAACATCTTGAACGGGCCAAAGCCCCTTCATGACATGAGTTCAGTTCAGCTAATCAAAATCACCCATCTTAGACAGATTACATTAGAGAGAGAGAGAATCTAAAGTTTGAAGGATGGTGAATTACGTGCTTCAGATCACCGCCGACCTCGAGAACCTCACTGACCTTCAGCCCCAGGGCGGCTGCGACGACCCCAACTTCTCCTTTCTCTTCAAGGTCTCCTTCATTTTTTCTCGTTCTCTCTCTCTCTCTTTTTTTCTCCCTCTTGTTTTCTTCAAATATCCTTATCTTTCAATCTCGTCTCATTCCATTCCCTCAAAACACACTCTTTTTAAAGATTTCTCTCTATATGAACTTTTAAGATTCTGCCTCTTCTATTCTTCAGGGGTTGTGATGTTGACTGGTTCCTTAATGATCCTTTTTTTATTTTTTATTTTACTTTATTTTATTTTATTTTATTTCATGTTTGTGTAGTTGAAATGTGGAAGATGTGGAGAGGTGAGCCAAAAAGAAACTTGTGTTGTATTGAATGATAGCGTTCCTCTCCCAGTCGGTAAGGGAACAACTCATCTCATTCAGAAGGTAATTTCTAATTTGCATTTTTTGTTCCTTTACGCGGGTGAATTAATTCTCGAATAATCTGTGTCATGGATTGTTGATTCATTTTGATGGTGAGAAATAAAAGGAAAAGAAACAGAACAAATTTAGTCCTTTGTATTCTTCTATACTTGCTCTTTGTTTTTTTTTTTTTTTTTGGCTAAAATTTCTTCTCCGTTTTTGCTGAAAGTTCATATCTTTAATCTGAAATTTGTTGGAATCAAATTTTGTCCAGTTTTTATACTATTTTACTTTTGTATGTGTTAGCGATTTTTTTTTTCTCTTTTTGTTTTTGTTTCTTATTGAAAAATTTCGTGTGTTCTTGTTTCAAGTTTCAATTATGTTATAATGACTAAAGCAGCTGGGAGGTAGTCCGACCTTTGGCGCTCAATCATGAAGCCAACCAGATTTGTCCTATTTATTTTTATGCCCAATAAAGTGTGAAGAAGTAATTTCTATGGTGACATTATAGACTTGCGTATGGATCCACCATAATTTGTCTAGTTCTTGTAATTGACTGATGCACTGTTCCTGATAGAACAATTGCTTATATCTGAGAGGCCTTTGGGGACTATCTAATCCTTGTATAAAGTATCTATCTTTTGTTCTTATTCCTGTCCTTTCGGTCGTCTAAACTTTGTGGTTACTTTGATTTGAGGAAACAAAATTTATCTTATTGCGGTTTGGTTTGTTGAGTACAATCTGTTGTGAAATGCGAGAATTCATATCAAGTTTTCCAGTTTTTTCTCTTTACCTTCTGTGCATGAGTGATCTTTGGCATTAGTTTTCTTTTCATCCTTGAGTAATATACTATATATGTTATTATACGCTCTTTCGTCATAGTAATGCCTTAGGAGTTCTTTCAGCGTCTTACATTATTTCTCTTTCAGTGCAAGTTTTGTGGGAGGGATGGCACTGTCACAATGGTCCCAGGTCGCGGTCGTCCGCTCACTCAAGAAACCAGTGAATCGGGGAAGTTTTCCCCCTTGATGTTATTTGATTGCAGGGGTTATGAGCCGGTGAGCTACGCCTTTGCTGATGGATGGAGAGCTGTGTCCGTAAGTTTCATTTATATATTTCACTTTTGCTTAGCATAGGAGTTTAATGTTCTTACTATATGGTTTTCACATAAATTTGATGGTGACAGTAAAGTGATTTTTCCCATTCCCTGGGTTCACCCACATTATTAACAATGGAGTTTTTGCACATATATGGTGGGGTTTTCTTCTTTGATTTATTTATCTTTATGCGGCTTAGAATATTGTTCGCTCTTGTGTAGTTGGAGGGCACAACATTTGAAGAAATTGACTTATCAGGAGGGGAGTTTGCAGAGTATGACGAGAAGGGAGAGTGCCCAGTTATGATTTCCAATCTCCGAGCTACTTTTGAAGTGGTGAAGTTGTAAATTATGCGTCTCATTTGTCTTGGTATATAAATTAACAGCCTCCTCCTGAATGAGGCATAAACACTTATGGACTGCTTTGTGTATTGTTGGCATGAAACAATAAATGGAGTCACTTTTTATAAATTCTTCTTTTTATTGTCACTTGCTACAAGTAGAGTACTTCTGGCAGTCAACGGTTGTTGTTGTTAATGATCAAAACGCTCTAGGAAAAAGCTCATGGGAAGTTTTGAAATACCCTGATTTTGTAAAAATATTTCTTAGCGCTAGATTCCTTTCCTCGAAATTGTTTGCCTTTTGTTTTTGCTCTAGAACCAGAACAGCAAACAGAGAATAGTAATGAAAAGTGGTATTGAAGAAATTTTGTTGAGTTGTGGAGGGATTTCACACTCGTAGATTCAGTTGCCTCAGGTTTTTTTTATATAAAGGCGGTGCTGATTTGAGAGGAGTGGTTTTCTCTTATAAAATCCTCCATTATAGTGAAATTACAGCAACTGCTAAAAAAGGCTGGCCTCACATTGAGGCAAACCTCTATATATCTTGCGTGTTTTTGTTTAATTGATTTCTTTTAAGTGCTCTTGGTAGAATAGAATTAGAGCATCTAATCAACAGAAAATTCCATAAAACCCTAAAAAACAAATCTCAGTACAAAACCCAGCAGCAGTTCAAGGAAGCCTCCCCAGCTGGTTTCCATCACTCTTTCTGTCACTTTCTAAATACATTATTTAACACGTGAATTTTATTATTTTACATTTTTATTTAAATAATAATGTATCATGTTAATGGAGTCTAATGTTAGCATCTCTCATTCCCTTATTATCAGCCAGGCCATTACCTCATTAACTATTAATCCTCCAATGTATGTATGCTTCTAGTTCTCTTCTAACAAACTCCTAACCAGCTGCTGACAGACTATTAATCAGAAACAACTGACCGACAACCTAACTAACAACACTTCCCATCAGTTTTCGTTTCCCCTCTCTTCTTCTTCTTCTCTTCTCTCTTTCATGTTTCCTTGCAAAAACAAATGTATTCTTATGGTGCTCTTTTAGGGAGACAATACGATGTAGGTACATTCTAAATCCCTCACATTTTGTTTCCTTTTCCTTTTGCTCCGTGTATTTGTTTCCGATTATCTCTCTCGGTGCTAAAAACAAAACAAACGCAAAAACAAATAAAGGAAAAAATGTCATGATCCGGAGGTGTGGTGATGTAATTGGGTTTGGACGTCCTAACTCCCAAGATAAGAGAGGTAAGTTAGGTTAGGCTTAGATTAGTAATCTTAAAACGTGGAATGGAAGGGGCTCCTACTAAGAACGTGGGTGACCAGACTACCTAACTCGAGAGGATCACATCTCCATAATTGAAATCTTTTCTTCTCTTAGAGAAAACGTCAAACGTGTTTTATGACAATGCAGTTTTTTTTTTTTTTTTTTTCATGGTCGTAGTCTCATAGGCTTTAATTTTCTTTAATGTTTAGGTTCATCGTTCAAAGACTTTTTTTTTTTTTTGGCAAATTTGAAGGAAAAGACGGAAAACTCCACATTGTGAAAATGATGTTTAAGTACTTTTCTTTTTTTTTTAGATCTATGTTAAGTTGGCAAATGGTTACAAATGGCTTTGTGGTGAGATCAGATATTTATTCGTCAGTTATAATAAATGCACCGTCAAATATACTTAATTACTTAGTCCCAATAAGGAAATGTCCTTAATGGCAAAACCATATGAAGGAAAATACTAAAAACATTGAATGAAAATCAACGGTACGGACCCCATGCAATGCACATTTTTCTCAAGAAATTACAAAAACATCGTATCAATATGCTAAGAAGAATATCAACTTTTTAAAATAATGATAACAACAGGCAAGAATATTAATGGTAATTTTAAATCTAAACTAGAAAACTAGATAACGACAATTTGAAATCAGAAAAAAGAAATATATACAAAAAGAAAAATAGTTATTTACTTCAAGATTCTACCACAAAATAATCTTCAATTCAAGTTCGGAAAAATCCTACTATAAGGTCTGCATTTTGTTTAATATGATAGTCTAAAATTATACCGTACGATTAAATATTTTTTGGTATTAAATTAGGGAGATTTTTTAATATATTTAACTTATTAATAAATTATATTTTTTTAATCATTAAATTTACGTATTTAATTTTTACATAATTTTATACTAAATTAAGAGAAAACTTAACTTATTAATACGTTAATATATCTAAAAATGTATTTACAAAACATTGCGAGTCCTTGTAATCAATTATGAGTTTTTTGTTTGTTTGCGTTTAACGTTTAGGAGTACAATAAAAAGTTTTGTGAGTTGAGTTGCCGTCTCGCCGACCTTACTTGGCAGTCCACTAAGGTAAGAGGACTACACGACAATCCCAACTCTCTCTCTCTCTCTCATCTCTTATCTCTTCTCTCTTTGTTTGTGGGGGAAGAAAAGACGGTTCTTTTTATGCGTTCAGATTCCGCAGATCAATTTCCCAATTCCCAAATTTCTATTAATTTCGCAAATACAACGCATCTAGATCCCCTCCCAAGTCTTGGAGTCTCATTCATAGGCCACTTGAACACCTTTTCCCAACTCCCTCTTCTCTCCTCTTCTGAGTCTAACCATCTTTTTTATTTATTTTTTTATTTATATTTTATTTTCTTCTCTCATCATTTATTCATTTTATACAAAATACACACCATCTTCTCCTCGGTCACTCCTCCGCCTCTATTTTAGGCGAATATTATCTGGCGCAAATCGAGCTGTCAACTAAAAAAAAAAAAAAAAAACGTTTCTCCCACTTTCAAAGTTGTTCTTCGTTTCGAATTCAACCGTTCCAACACTTAGGTATGTTCAATTTCTCTATATTTTCTACTCCTCATATGTTTCATATTATAAATATATTAATGATCCTGCTTTTTTTTTTTTTCCGATTCTCGTGTGGTAATTTCCGAATTTTTGCTTCAGATCTATTAAGGGATTTCTGTTTTCTTTGTTGCAGATAACTGAGTTATATAAATCCCCTTTTTGGTAAAACTCAAATCCACTTCAACTCTAGTGTTGTAATATGCAATTCTCGATTCCGGGTTTTCTCTTAATTAGAACAAAGTCAATAACTGTCAAGAAATTGAAGCATTTTCGAAGCTAGCGGTGAATACCCAGAATCTAGTTTTTTTCTTTATATATATATATATATATATATATTATATTCTAACTAGTATTTGATAAGAAAGATGCAACAAAGAGTGTCGCCTTTGGAGGAAGGTAAAGACCCTGGAGCTATTATAAGCAGAACAAGCCAATATAAGGCCCTGCCGTTAAGGCTGCTTCGTTTATTTGTGCTATTTTTAGCTTTATGTGTCACATTTGCTGTTATTAGCATATACACTGTTCGCCATTTTGGGATCAGTACCGTAATGACTACGGTCAAGTCCGGTTTCCAGCCGTGTTATGCGGAGCCACAAAGTGATTTGGATCAATGGATTAGGCCGCCATCGAATCTGATCCACAGGATGAACGATACCGAGCTGTTGTGGAGGGCATCTTTTGCGCCTAGAATAAGAAATTATCCTTTCAAGAGGGTTCCGAAGATTGCTTTCATGTTCTTGACTAAAGGACCAATGCCACTAGCTCCTCTTTGGGAGAGGTTTTTCAAAGGGCATGAAGGGTTTTATTCGATTTATGTTCATTCGCTGCCGTCGTTTGTGCCCATGTTTCCCTCTACATCAGTTTTTTACGGGAGACATATTCCAAGCCAGGTAAATTTTTTTTTTTCTCAGCTATATTGTGAGTCTTAGTGCATCTGTTGTTGTTGTTGTTGTTTTATTCCCTTGAATAATTCTGATGTGCAGTCCTAAAACTTGTTTCTTACCCATTGGAATAGTTTCTTGTATGCCTCACTTGGCTGTCTGTTGTTAGTATAAGAATTGCTTGTGTTGATGAATATGTTGGTACACCATAAGTAACAATTTTGAGAAAAAGAAGATGCCTTTGATTTGTTGTACTTTGTGAGTGGTCATTTTCTCGTTATTTTGTTTTCCCTTCTAAAGTTAGCTACTTCAATAGAAGATCCTATACTTTTATGCATCGATAAAATAGGGATCCTATCCTTTGAGGTTGATTGTCATGTAAATGTGATTACTCCAACATCTTTCTTTAGTAAACATGAGGTGATAGATGAGATCTGTGATATCCACATCTTTTGTATATAAAGACGAATGTTACGTGAACATTTCAAGTATAAGGAGTTGGCGGACTAAAGTGATGGATAATGGATGAAAACTGCGTCTTTTCTCTTATATAATTATGAAAACTGTGTCTTGTGTGCACGTTTCTGCATGTGTTTATAGTTTGGAGCAAGTAGCAGAGTGAGGTGATTGTGTTTGGAATTTCTTCTAGAATCATGGTGGGGAAGCCATCCATGTTTGAGTTGCCATTTTTGGTGCTAGGTTTTTGTACCAAGTTCCTTGGAAATGACTTCATAAGTATGAATTTGACGTGGAATTAGTTTTCTGCAAATCAAATGATGCAATGTCGAATTTTGATTGCCTTGTCATTTGAGATATATTCCCAAATAGAGGAGGGAAAAAAAAAAACCTTATAATTAGCAAAAGTCAAATGTTTGTCGTAGTAGTATTGTACTTGTTTAGTTGTCAAACCAGTTTATTGATGAAATATGAGATTCAATGCTTATTTTGGCTTCCATATCTTTTTGGGAACTATGATAGATCCCCTGTTGACCGGCTCACCTGTTGATCCAAAACCCCAAATGGTGATAACCAAATAATTGTTTAGCTAATGATGGATTTTACTCTACAGATTACTTACCCTACTTATTTTAGAGTCACTTTTTGCACTATCGTCCGATACATCAATGAAGTTGATGATTTTGGTTGTTTTTCTTTCATTACAGGTTTCTGAGTGGGGAAGGATGAGCATGTGTGATGCCGAGAGAAGACTCCTCGCAAATGCACTGCTCGACATCTCCAATGAACGGTTTGTCCTCCTTTCGGAATCATGCATTCCCCTCTACAATTTCAGCATCATATACCACTACATTTCAAAATCCAAATTCAGCTTCATGGGGGCATTTGATGACCCCGGGCCATATGGCAGAGGGCGCTACAACGACAACATGTTACCCGAGGTGAACATCTCCCGGTGGCGTAAAGGATCTCAATGGTTTGAGGTTAACCGGAAGCTCGCCACCTACATCATCGGAGACACCACATTTTACCCAAAATTCGAAAAGTTCTGCAGACCAGCATGCTATGTGGACGAGCACTATTTTCCGACTATGTTAACCATTGAAGCTGCCAATCTCTTGGCAAATAGAAGCATCACTTGGGTGGACTGGTCCAGGGGTGGGGCTCACCCTGCTACTTTTGGGAGACCAGACATAACGGATGAGTTTTTCAAGAGAGTTTTTGAAGGTACGCGTTGCACTTATAACAACAGAAACTCTTCAATCTGTTTTCTCTTTGCCAGAAAGTTTGCTCCGAGTGCTTTGGAGCCTCTGTTACGTATATCAAAAAAGGTTTTGGGCTATTGACGAAAAATGAACAAAGGGGGTTACGTTGGAGACATGCGAAGAGTTCATTCTCTGCCCTAAATACACGTTCATTTGTAAACTAACCACTTTGTCTTGTGCTTTCACTGGAAAACTCTTTCAGTTCATGTTGTGCCATTATCCCCAAATAATACTAGGTGTACAGAGAACCAGCACCAGATAGGCTTTGTACTCTCATTTTTGTACTGAGACTAGAATAATTGGTTTCTAATTTTAAGTTTCAATGTGATTATATATTGAGAAGCATAAATTTATTACTACATAGGATTTAACAAGTATCATATGTGTCACTTCAGCCAAAAAAAAAAAAAAAAGGTATGGTGTGTGCTGGTGATTCTTTCTCTCTCTCTCTCTCTTTTGCGCTATAAATCCTTAAAGCTGTTTGGATTTGAATTCTCTGAAGTTGGTTCTTTTAATTTGTACATGAAACATCGACGGAAGAAGTTAATAGGATAGTTTAGGCGGGGTTGTTAATTTCATTAAAAAAAAAAATTATAGTCATCATCTCATTATTACCTCCACAATTGTATAGTTCTTTTATGTGAATTCAAATTTGCAAACGTACTCAATTGTATATCCATATTCCTACTTGCAAAGTTAAATTTTAGAGTTCGATCTCCCCACTTTATTGAAAAAATACTAATAAAACAATAAAAAAACAAACAAACAAACAAACGGAAATGTAAATTATCATTTCTTATTATAAAAAATAAAAATATTGTAACAATCAGCACTATACTCATTCGTTCCTAGCAAAGTGAAGATGATGAACTTTTGCTGAGGCCCTACTGACTAGGGGTTGGATTGGTGAAGAAAAGAGGTGTACATTTGTGGGTGTACAAACAATATGTTTAGAATTAATTTTAAAATGATTTTGTTTTCAATATAAAGTAAAAATAAGAATATTTTGAGAATCATTCTGAGACTGATTCTAAAATTGTATTTAATTAATTTTTTAAGAGATTATTTTGAGTATAATAAAAAGTGAAATCGCATTTATTAATTAATATATTATAATATTATTGATAAGTATTAAAAAATAAAAATAAAAAAATGAAAATAATTTTTAACTATTTTCGCTTTTATTTTTATTTTTAAAATATTTACTAAATAAACGTAATTTTATTTTATTTTCATTTTTTTACGATAAAGTATGTGAAAATCGTTTTCGTTTTCAAAATCGGTTCTAAGCACGCATAATATGTCCTCTCTTGTGGTGACAATGACGAGGATGTTTTGCACGCTCTCTGACAATGCTCTGCGGCTCAATCCTCAAATAGGTGTGGCAAGCCAGTCCGGTGTGATCTTTTATAAGTGACTTGGATAGTTGGATGCTGGCTCCTTTAGTGCCCTTTTTGTCTACTTCTGTCTACCAAAGTTTTTTTTTTTTTCTTTAAGATAAAATTTCATTCAATTACAAATCTTATAGACACTAATGATAATGTGGCTGACTCTGTAGTACATAATATAATTCTCTCATGAAAACCGGTTCCATCAATAAATTTATGTTTACTTCCTAAATTAATGACGTTGATCTTTAAGGAGACATTTAATTCATAGATTAGAATCATGTGATTAAAATTATTTTTAATTTATGTGTATTTTTTGTGAGAGAAAATACTGTAGCGAATGATGAACCATAATTCAAACCATGAACCATAAATTTATGTTTACTTCCTAAGTTAATGACGTTGATCTTTAAGGAGACGTTCCTAAATTAGGTATGCTCTTCTCTCTTATTGCTGGTCATTCTTTCTATGTGTAATTTTAAGATTTACTGTCGGAACACAAATTGTATTTCTTTATAAATCATGGATTTATAGGTAAATCTATGATTTACCATCATAATACAATTTATGGTCCTTTATAAATCTTAGATTTAGACGATAAACTTAGAACTTTACTAATATAAGATAAATATTTTTTTAGTTCTGCTTGTAAATCCCGTGTTTGTCCAGTAAGTTAATTTACCCAGTAAAACCATGATTTACCATCCACGGTAAATTTAGGATTTACCATCAGAACACAAATTGTGTTTATTCATAAATCCTTAATTTGACGTGTAAATCTAAGATTAACGGTTACTTAATTATATTAATTTTACTAATATAAGATAAATATTTTTTAGTTCTACTCGTAAATTTAAGATTTACCATGCAGTAAATCTAAGATTTACCATTAGAATACAGTTTGTGTTCTTCATAAATTTTGATTTTATAGCGTAAATCCAGGATTTACCTTCAAAACACAGTTTTTGTCCATTCACAAATCCTAATTTAACAAAATAAAAATAGAATTTTTCATTAGAACGTGGGAGAGTGTAGAGAGAGGAGATAGAGCGAGTGTGGGGAGAGAGTCAGAGTAAATTTTACACTTTCATTTTCTTATTTAATTATGGATGTTTTTAATAAATCCAGATTTATATCTATTAAACTTATTTACTAACTAATTATAAATCTTAACCTATTTACTTTTATTGTCCTTTTAGCCATTTTTTATTTCTCTCAATCTCTTATTTTTCAATCCTATTAACTTTTTCATTACATTCCTTCAAGATATGGTAAACGCATCTTAAATATGAACGCATTGCTTAATAATCATATCGCTTATGTTGGTGTTGAGGCCGTGATCTGGGACAACAATGGTTGTCTTGTGTATGGGGTTTTTGCCTATAAACTATAGGGTGCTTTTCACCCTCTTGTTGCGGAAAGTCTTGATATACAAGAAGGTTTACAGTATGCCATTTCAATAGCGCTTACGGAGTCGGAGATCGGAAATCGAAAATAATACGCGAAAATAAGTATTTGATCGCTAGTGGTGAGTTAGATGCATATTTTAAACTACCCTTAACACACTTTTTAGAAAAAGAAAAAATTAATTATCACTTATATCTCTTAAATTTTAGAGTTATTTTTGTTGGTTTCCGAATCGAATTTGGAAGCGGAAGCATGGGGTAGCGGATCGTGTATAATAAAAATTTTCATAAAACTTTTAAAATACTATATATATTATATTAATTTATACACGAATAAATTAATCACATTAATTTATTAATTAAGAACTCGAATTATGAATTATACCTAGCGACCGATTAGGATGATAACTTGAGTTCTCTGACCTCGAACAATCCTCGCTCCAATGCTTTATTTTGAAAACCCGAGCCTTCCTCGTCAATTCCTTGAATCTACGAAGACGTGTGTGTGAGTACACTTGAAACAAAACGGGTTAACAAAAACACTCAAGAATTTCCACGAACACCAGCGTATGCACGACGTGGAATTTTTTTTTGGAGAAAATTTGTCGTCTCACAACCCTTGTGAATTTCGGCCACTATAGAAAAAATAAGAGCAAAAAATTGTTTCTAAAAAACTATCTCATTATTTATAGAATAGTAGTTAGACTACTAAAAGAAGTCTCACCTTTATCTCTAAGATAAAGCTTATATATTTTCTCCTATTTTAATTTAGAACAAAATTTTTCTTTACTTTATCCTTGGTTGGTTGGCCATAGATAGGGGATCTTATCCCTGTGTAGGCGCCAATATCAGATAGTGAAGGAAGAGAAAATCATCATTTATCCTGCAGTCCAATTTTGACTCAAATTCAAATTCTAATTTAAGTCAAACTTAAATTAATTGAATTCTAAATTGAACAACTTATCAAATAAATTTGAATGGATAATTCTAGATGTGTTCACACAATGTATCCACACTATGTGTTCACACTGTGCATTGTGTTCACACTATGTGAACACCTTCACATAAGTGATCCAAAATTCAAATTTAAATTTAAATAATCACATTATTTGAATAATAATTAATTATCCTTGAGTGTTTAATTTTAGAATTCTGTAATACTAAAATTTTCATTTTGCCCTTAGTGTCTTGTAGAATTACAAGGACGGCGTGGGGACTCATGGACCTATAATTTTAAGCTCCAATAAAATTAATAATTAATTAAATACTTTAATTAATTAATTAATCTCATTAATTCTAATAGTTACTCCACTATAAACTTATAATTGCACTCTCGTAATTATATATATAAATTACTTCTAAACCGTGAAGTGTCCATATGATGTAGTCACTGCATATAGATCAATCCTCCATAAATAATTCATAATTAGAGCTAGGTATAATCTGTTAAGCTCTCTAATTACATCTTTATCCTTGAGTACCATTAATTCTCTAATGGACAGTGATTCATAAAACACATTAATAAATCGGAGTTCCTACTGGTGCAAGTACTGAATCAACCCTCAAGAGAATTATTTATCTACTTATGTCTCAAGAAGGAATGAATTTCATCTCGTATAATAACATTCCCGGCTACCTACTTCATCATGTGTCCAAAATACAAGGAATAAGATTCAGGATCTTAGAATCCCTACCGAGTAAATCAAAATACACAAATCCATAAATAGGAGTCTGATAAGAACTCAGGATTAAGATCATTCTATATATGACCATCGGTAGACTCAATTAGAATTTCTATACTTAACGAAAATTATTAGAAATTCATATTGTGTATGTATCCTTGTTCCACATAATCTCATTATGCGAAATACGCTCATTCAATATCTTACCATATTAATAGTGCAGATAACACCGTTCCATTCTAAATGGGAATGACATGTATTAATAATGTTTTAATTAAAGATTTTAAACTTTAATTAAATTCATTATGAACATCATTTTTTATTATTATCCTTAAACATTATCCTATCGTATATAACATTTATATACAATGTTTAAGGTCACATAAATAATCATGAAATTTTCATTGATATTCATAAAATATTCATAAACATATGCACATAAAATAATGAATAAAGTCTTTTATTAAATAAATAATAAATATCTTATCGCATCTCATGCTTGTAGGACGCAATTCTCAATAATTTTCAGTTTATCTCTTGAACTATTAAAACACTCATTTTGTCCCTTAAATTTTAAATTATTTTCACTTAACACATTTTCGATTAAATATATATATATATAAAGAGAATAACACAGTCTTTTTATTTAGATTTCTTTTACAAAAAAACATATGAAAATTACATAACCACACTTAACTTCTCTTTTTCCATATGATTTTAATAGAAATTACAATAAAAGAGGTTAAGTGAGAACAATTCAAAATTTAAGGGGTAAAGTGAGTTTTTATTCAGTGGACAAACTAAAAATGACTCTAAAATTTAAGAGCATGGATGAGAATAATTCAAAAAAAAGAAAGAAAGAAAAAAAGAAAAACCTTAATATACAATTGATTAAGTCTAAAAAGATGGTATAAACAAGATTTATTCTCATAATTAACGTAAAATACAAGATTTATTCATGTAAATTCCCCTTACATCAATTATAATGATGTGCCGAAAATTGATTCAGCAGACAAATCCTGAAACAGCAAAAGCAGATGTGTTTTGGGTTCTATGCCAATAAACACTTCACGTTGAAAGACCAACAACAATTCGCTAACAACAATTAGCTCCATTATTTCAAGTTATTAAACTTTTGTTGAGTTCACTTATTTAAATTGAGTTGTGATTTTATGTAAAAAAAAATTTTATTATAATAAAAAAGTTAAATATAATTATTTTTAAAAAAAAATTTATTATAATAAAACTTAAATTTTAAATTTAAATTAATAAAAATTTTATTTATTTCGTTAATTTAAGTTTAAAATTTAAATTTTTAAACGGCAGAGTCGCAGTCGAGACCTAACAAACTCCCTTATTTCAAGTTTTCAACGCAAAGGCAAGCAAATGGAGAAGAAAAATAAATAGGAAGTCATTAATGATTGCAAACGGTGGGGGTCGCAGTCGCACTCCCGCATCGTAAATATCAAACAAGGGCATTTCCGTAACTTAACAATTTCATATTGGGCCCCCATTGGCCAAACCAATACATCCCACGAAAGATGGCGGAAAGAATGTTCTGGAAGTAATTACATTCAAATCAGCAAAACAAAGAACCAAATTCCCACCATACACCTGTCATATCCGTTGCTCCACATTAAACAACCAGGTCCTTCTCACATCTTCGACGTGTCAACCAGCAGTTGGACAAACGTGGACCTTACAGGTTGGTATGCCTGTGGGTCCCCACACGGAATCACGCATCCTCACTTCCCTGATTTATTGCGCAATTAAGCTGATCACTGTTATCATACCAATTATTAATAATCACTTCCTCAACATTTCAAATTCCTTCTCTTCCTCTTTAGCGCAGTGCGCAGTCCATTAAGTTCGCGTGCTTTCAACGCGCTCTACACGTTTGATGATCACAGTGATGGGAAGAGCAACGTCTTGATGCGCGAATAAATTTTGGTGCGTATGCGACTAACTCCACAGAATTTATTCTCCACTCGTACCAAAAAAGAAAACCCTTTCGTTAAGGTAAAGTCAGGCGAAACGGCGCCGTGTAAAGGGAAATTTCTGATTTTAAACCCACCACGTGTCAAGGTAAATTGTACTGTGGATAAAAATAATGAATAGAACACAAGCAAAGAAATGGAGGAACACATCGCGTGACTGTTGTATTCAAAACAGCGCCCAAGGAAAGAAATCGGTGGGACCCACAACGTAAACCAGCTGTTGCTCAGCCTTTCGCCAGCCTGTTAAACGGGCAGGCAGACCGACCTGCCCGACCTGCCCAAAGCTCTTCTTTCTCAGACTCTTCTTTCCTTTTCTCTCTCTATATAAACACTCAACTCACCACAACCTCTCAACTTCGTCTGCGCGAAAAATTCTTTTTCCGCCTTGTCTGAGATCTCAAAACCCTAGACGAAGAGGAAGAAGAAGAAGGAAACGGCATTCTGCAATGGCTCGCTCACACGCTTCTGTTGTAGCTCTCGCGGCGGTGATCTTCACCGTTCTCTCCATCATCGGAGCTACCCAAGCAGCAGAATCTCCGGCGCCGAGCCCCGCCTCTCCGGCCGCCGCGATCTCGCCGTCGTTCCTCTCCGCCTTCTTCGCCGCTCTCGTAGCTCTGGTCTTCGGCTCTTCTCTCAGGGCTTGAGGAATGCGTTTGTCGGCGCTTGTGACCATGGATGTGGTGATGCTGCTGGTTGTGCATGGTGGTGTAGAGCGGTTGGATTCGTTCATATTCGTTTGATTTACTTAGGCCTTTTGGTTTTAGGGATTTTTCATCATCTATATCAGTAGTTTGTGATGGATCTTTAGCGATTTTGCTTATTCTCGGTTTGTTGCTTACATATCATTCTATTACATGTAATTCGCGTGGATCTCTTATGGTTTGAGGATTATTTTTACATATAGTAAATATTTGATTACTTATATATTTTTGTGTTAATTATTCCACTGGCTTTACTCGTGAATATTTATGGTTTATCTTATATATATAATGCTGACTCTTGAGTCTTCGCACGGTGAAAATGAAATTATTTTTGATCCAATTGGTGCCTAATAAACCAAGTAAAATTTAGTTGCTGAATTGGGTTTTAGTTGTTTATGCCAACTATTTGGCTACATTGTTAGATCTGAAGACACGTCATAAACATATTTGTTGGAAAAATAATCTATGGTGCGTTAGGTATAAACATCTTTCATTCATTCAATGATTTACTTTACAACAGAATGTAATAACCGTTGATAATGACAATGCGAATATTTTAAGAATCTGATTTGTTCGTTTTTTTTTTAGGATAACTTAGACTTACAGGTGACTAATAAGTTTGTGATGTTAAAAGTTGATTGGGTTCAGCACTTAATTACAATGGAATCTTCCTATCAATTTTCTTCTTTTATATTAATTGTAGCTGTAAATTTTTTCAAAAAAAAAAAAAAAAAAAAAAAAAAAAGACTGGGAGAGTTGTACGTGACAAATATATTCCAATTACACATTTCTAAACCCATTGACAATGGCCAAGTAAAATGTCGGCACCTAAAGTTTAAGGTTTATTTTTAAAAAAATTTTGCCATTACTTGTTATTTTATTTTTTTCCCCCTAAATAAAAGACATAATTTTGTAATTCAGTGGCTGATGAGTTGATGTTGTAATAAAAAATAAAAATAAGTAAAAATAAAAAACCACGGGCATCCATGTGCACGCTACAGCTACTATAAGAACGGAATTTGTTTTAGTCTGGCTCTTGTGCGCCACAAGTTCCTGTCGCATTGTGAAAAAAGGAATTGCTTTATTCCTTGGCCATTTTTTCTGTTCTTTCTTAACCCAATGGGTTTAGCCTTTAGCGTAATCGTATTCCTTTCTTTTGTTTTTTTTTTTTTTTTGGCTCAAAAAGAAAAGGTTATGCAAAGTTTTTATTTTTGTTTTCCAGTTTGATAAATGGTTTGCATTATTTTTCCCCATTTTCATAAACTTTTTTTTTTTTTAAAGGCGCACACACCACAAAATTCTGGTGTCGATGAACCAGAAAAGAACGTTGGTTGGTTTGTAAGGAAAATATGTGGTTGCCCACCATTGATATTGTATTCTCCAAGTAAAAACAGAATCTTGTAGTCGATAATGTATTATGTGAATGCATTTTTCCAAGTTGGTCTTCCTTTTGTCATCGACATTCCACCAGAAGACTCGTGTTCCTTTGCCATGATTAAAAATGTGTAGATATAGTTGGCGATCTGGTTCCGTATCTCACAAGCACATGGTTAGTGGTCCCTTCTCATTAAAAATGTCAATGGAACTCATTACTAGAATAACTAACGATTCACCCGCCTCACATCAACTACGCCCAGTGAATATCACTTCGGCAAATGATGTTTCAACAATAGTATCATAGTGATCGATTTTTTTATTTTGTAATAATAGTCATCAAGTTTTTTAAGGAACGCTCTTCAATATGCTGCCAGCTAGTTATTACTTGCCTTGTAATGTATATGATTGTCACTTTCTCAAAATTCATCAAATATTAAACTGGAAATGGTAATGAGGTCCCTTTTTCCCCTAGTACTTTTTCATTACTGTTTGGATTAATTTTAAATGTGTAATAATAATAGTTGTCTCATTTTTATCTCATACAACTCAAAATATCACAATACTCCTTTATAAATTTACCGTAAGTTGTACTTTTTATAATTTCATTGTTGATGAGGCCTCAATTTTGAACAGTTGTAGTCACGTAACTACTCATTAGTCAATTTTTAAGTAGTTACATAGTAAATAGAGAATATATATTTAAAGAATTTAAAAATAATAAATATTTTACAAATTCTTCCTCGCTCTAACCTAATTGTTACCTTCTCTTCTGCTTAGAACCACAACCCCGCATCGCCACCATGCTTTTATATTGTAATTGTCCTTGCCAAGCAATCACGTGACCACACATTATGAAAAAAACAAAGTTAAAAAAATGACGAGTCACTCACGTAAGCACTAAGATTGTACCTTTTTTTTTTTTTTTTTGCTTGAAAGATTGTAACTTTTATAAGCGCATGGGAGAGTTTTAAGTTGCAGGACATTCTTTGAAGACCAAATTTAAAATTAACCCCTCTTGTTTTGTTTATATTCTTTGGAAAGACCCATCAACATTTTCTTTTTTTAAAAAAAATGAACAAATTTACTACGAAATTGTGTAGAAAACAGTGGAAAGTAAAATTATATATATTTATATCACTTGAAATTCACCACCATGAAAGTTTGAAAGCTACACGGTTCTAACATCTCACAAGAGTCGTCGTCATCCACAAAATTATGACCCGGACTAAGCCTAATACGTTCTTTGTGCAGACGGGCTTATTCGGAATCAGACTCCATATTTCCCATAGCCTTTAGCCCTCTTGGTCTCTGCAACACATCCTAAAAATGTGTGAAACTTCAAGAAATAAAATTGAGAGAATTTTTTTAAAAACATATTGCAAAAAAAAAATTTCGCAATTAATAGAAATAACTGACTTTCATTCTATGCACGTTCTCATTAGAACGGTTGGAGAACAAAATTGTGATCGACCCGAAATTAAGAAACTTGTTTTTAATCAATTTTAGGGTAAACTCAGCTGCATAATTAAAGTAATAATTTAAAGACCCATTTAGTTTATTAATTCGAGTTTTTAATTCAAATTGAGATAAAATTTGATGTGAACTTTTTACTGTAATAAAAAGATTAAATGTGACTGTTTTTAAAAATTTAAGCTGTAACAAAACTCGAGACCTAAATACCTTTTTGGAGATCTTCTTCTCCCGGACCTCGTATCTTTCTAGGGTCAAATCACATAGCCATGCTCCTGGACTTACCAGCTGAAAAACAGAAATGCAAAACGAATTAGAGAAACAACTCCCCACCAAATCCGCCCCTTGAAATTAATCTGTGTTGAAAATGAAAAGGAATCTTCGAAAACAATAAAAACAATTATTGCTCTTTGAAAATAATTTAGAAAATAATAAAAATCAAAATCATTCGCGTAACGCTCTCCGTCTCAATAGTTTGCAAGTGTGGCCCACTGCAAGCTGGATAACAATCATGCAACCATCGCCATAATTTAACATTCTTTTTCCCAAAAAAAAAAAAAAAGAAAATAATAAAAGTCCAAGACCCGTCAATTCCTGCTCCTTTTGTCAGTTACGGTCGATTAAAGACCATACTGCGCTCACTTCGATTTCAAAAAAGAAAAGACCTCGCTCATCATGTAGGACCCATTGTTCCAAAATCTTTTTTTTTTTCTCTCTCCAACTCGAGTTAAAAAAATAAAAATCATGATAATTAAGAGGAGACCAGATCTACTATGGCCCCGTTGGGGACCATGTACAAAATTTTGTAAAGAGCATCATCCATCGTCATTTTGGACCAAGTAAAAAAATTACAAGAAATGTCTCTGATGAGATAGGAAAAATACTCTACCACTTTGAGAAATTATTATGCTGTCTTTAATTTGATATGATTCTACGTTCAAAAAAAAATTGATATGATTCCGATTTTATTTCGCAATTTAAAACAGTACTAAATTTAATTCGAGGGTTGTTCTATTAAAACTTTTTTAAGGTCAAAAGGTATTTTTTTCATGCCCTCTCGAGAATTCCTTAGCAAAAAAAATAATAAATAAATAAATATGAAAAACTACCAGAGAGAACGTTCAGGATTTTTAATCGTGGTTCGTGGATGCCAGCAGAGTGGGTCCCATCTCTGTCACCCGGAGGCCCTTAACAAATATTAGGTCATCATAATATCATTACTTTATTCGAGACACATTATATGGCGTAACCGACACGTGTGTGTCTGCTACTCATGTCCACTTTACGCTTTTTTTTTTTTTTTTCCTTTTATTTTGAGCTACCATCAGGCAACAAATTAAAAAAAATTAAAAGGAAAAAACCAAATAATAAGTTTGAATTTAGCAAAAAAATAATAAGTCTAGAAGGCAAACAAATGGAAGACACAAAACTGCAGTTTGACCTTTCTTAATTTAACCTCTTATCATTATTTCAAGTTATGCAACTTATAATTTTGTAACTGGGTTTTCTTCTCTTTTTTTCCCCTGGAGTTCCTTTAACAGCTTGTAATATAATGTAATAAATAAAAACACCCAACAAAATCAACTGGAAACTACTAAATAAATAAAAATTATAAAATTACAAAATTACAGAAGTAAAGAGGATTCTTACATTGAGGGTGCGTTGAATAAACTTTGCTCTCTTCTTGGGTCTCTGAGGCAGTTTGGAGCCCTTGAACGCAAAGAAATCCTCTTCTTTCTCCTTGTTGGTCAAAGCAATCACGAACTTAGGCGGCCACACGGGCGGCGCCGCCGCCTGCTCTCCGCTTCCCGAGGACGACCCACCCTTCTTGCTATCGTGTGCCGTCTCCGAAGAAGCTGCCGATTTGTTGTTATTCTCGTTATGGTGGTGGTTGCAGTGGTTTCCGTTATTGGTCCCTTTCTTATCGTGCGCACCCCTATCCGGCGAAGCAATTCCCCTAACGCCTCCGTTGCTTTGCCCTCTCATGGCACCAGAAGTCTCCAAGTTTCTAGACACAATAATAAGCACAAGAACAGCAATGAGAACGCATACTCATTTAGATACCATATCACATCAAATCATTAACCACAACTCGACCCAAGGGGAAAAAAAAAAAAAAAAAAACTATGAATAAAAATAAAGAAATATAAAAACCAACGGAAAAAAAAAATGTTCGATTTGGGCAGTTTACGAAATTACCCAATTAACCTTCGATAAACTTTATATCGGTGGGTGGTGTAGGCTAAAGTTTCGACGGGTTTTTCGCGGAAAACGGGGTGGTTTTTGGCTTTTCCCTGGGGGACCTTTTGCTTTTAAGATGGAGTTGTTAAATTAATTTCCTTTATTTTTCTCTTTATCTTTCTCTTTCTACTTACAAAAAGAGCTAGATATTTTAGAGAGAGAAAGACAGAGGCAGGGGGTGAGAAAATTGAGATTCTGTATAACGTGCACAACTGGCAATTGGGGTGGTTTTCAGCCGCAAGATTAAAGGAGGTACCTGTTTTGGAGGCTTGGGGTTGCGTGTTATTTGTTAAGGGCTTGGACGGGCATGTGTGTGTGTGTGTGGGGTGGGGGGGATTGAGGTGGGACCAGACTCCTAATCTCGTTAAAGGATCAACGGCTCAAACGGGATGTCGTTGAAAAAGATTTTCGGTGGACACGTGTGAGAGAAGTTGCCCATTACACATGTTTCCAACGACTGCATTATCAATTATTGGACGAGATCATGCGGTGAGCTGTGATCAAGTGGTTTCGCCTCCACGTCAGAGGATAAATCCACGAATCAGAGGTGAACCACTTTTCCTTCTTTTCTTTTTCCTTTTTTTTTTTTTTTTTTTTTTTTTTTTCAAACGGAGGGGAACCCTTTTTCCTTTTTTCTTTTTTCCTTTTTTTTTTTTTTTTTTTTTTGTTCAAGTGACGTGAACTACTTTGTCTTCCCTAGTGGCTAGTGCGGTCTAATTTTTTAACTTAAAAAACAATGTGGGGTCATTATTAATATAAAATTGTTTTGCCCTCATTGTTCCTATATCAATGTCACAAGATAAAAGCAAGAAGAGGAGAGAGACAAATAAACAATGTCAACGAAACAAGAGAATCTAATCAATTCTATCTAATTACTTGATTTCCAATCACTCAATTTTTGAACACACTAAATGGAGAATTTCAACTTCCATAATAACAGGACCATCACCCAAAAGAAAAACCGCAGATTTGCAAAAGAATTTATCCAGTATAATTGAGCATGAGCATAGAACCTTCACTAATACCCGTTACTTGGTGAATTTTCTACACCTAAAATGCATGCAAAGAATTTTTCCTGCATTATTGAGTACGAACACATACTTTCACCAATCCCCTATCACTCTAATTGAGCACGAACATAGTACTTTAACTAATAGCCAAAAAGAAAAAGAAAAACAATGTCAATACTTTTCCTACTTTTAAAATCCAGAGCGAGTCAGATTGTGAGCTATTTCAAACGCACCCAAAAAGTAGGAAAAGAAAATATGTTATATATCTTTTACCATGAGGCATGAACTCTCCTTTTGAACCAAAATCTGCGCCCATCTGAGCAAGTGGAGAGACATAAGCCTCAAAATAAGTTCAGCCCAAATGAAACCACTCGTACCCAATCTGAGAGTCGAGATCTGCTGTGGCAATTTTTCTATCTCAATAGCTGTCCCACCACTGAGATTTTGACACCTCATTAAAACTTTACATGTAAGCATCATTAGAAACGGCGTCAACAAACGTCTGAAGCAGCCATTAAAAAGGAATAGCGGAAGGGAAAGGTCCTGTTTGCGTCTCCGAAAGAAGCAGATGAATAAGATAATAAAAAAGGCCACAGCAATAAGGAAAAATTATCTGTGCGTAAAAGAAGCTGATGATAGAGAGGGAACAGCGGAAAGCTTGGACTTTGAGAGAGAGCGCCATTTATTTTTATTGTTCCTGAGGGGGAGAGAGAGAGAGCCATTTGATCGGTGGTGTTGCTGATAATTTCGAACAGAACACAAACAGTTTTTTCTTTCTTTCTTTTAATTTCTGTCTTCTTCCTCTTTCAAGATTTGAAGAAAAAAAACAAATAAAACTCTTTTATTGTCTCTTTCTTTCAAACCCACATTTACCACAAAAAGAGCATTATTATTTTCTTTTCTTTTTTTAACACAAAAGCAGATCTGGGTTTGTAGAGTCATTCCTTTACGTTTCACAAATGAAAACCAAAAAAAAGAAAAATCGTTTCTTCCATTCAAAAATACCCAGATTTTGGTGTGCTTTTTTGGGTTTTCAGTTGTGGTTTAGAGAAAGGAAGGAGAGAGGTTTATAGCTTTCTTTGATTGAGAATGGAGAGAGAGAGAGAGCCATGGTTTGTTCATTGGAGAATGGCCTTTACTTTTCTGGGATTACATACAGTGGGCTCAAAAACCAAAGGGGTTCTGACTTCTGAGCTTTGTTCTTCCTTTGCGTTTCCACAGCATAGTCAAAAAGAAAATTCCTTTAGGTCTCAGTTAATGTTATTCCGTTTAATTCACTGAGTTGTAAAAAATTTTCATATAAAATTATATTTTAATTTAAATTAAATTAAAATTTCAACTTAAATTAAATTAAAAATTCAAATAGAGAATTAAACGCTTCTAAATCTAACACTGGCTGATGTGTCAAAAATAAGATGAGGTGTCAATATTTAAGCGGTAAGACAGCTATTGTAACAGTAAAATTGGGACGGCAATCTAGACTCCCAATTTGAAACCCTCTCATAAGTTATAAAGCTTACCAGGCTAAATACAGTTTTCACACTAACACAAGCTTTACAAGGCTGAAAATTGAATTGAGACTGTAAACGCCATCACGCCTAATAAGGCCCAGGAATAGAATAAAACCCATCTAGTGTAAGTGCAAAATTTCTAAGTTAGAAAAGTCAATGGCGTCTAACTGCGCGGCCTTATCTTATATGGAAAAGGCTTATCCATTCCTGTTCTATCGCGCGCACAGAAAGGAAAAGAGAAAAAAAAAAAAAAAAAAAAAAAAAAAAAAAAAAAAAAAAAAAAGGGCTTATCCATTCCTCACTCAGATGTCAATCAAGACACATCTAAAAATCAATTGTGAAAATATTCATGATAGCGAACCCCATTTAAGCAACGAGCCTTCTCTATTACACACTGCTAAGGTCATTAAATTTACTGACAATTATTACGACTGGACGTGCTAAAAAATTCAAGAACTTCAATTACACAAGTCCCTAACTCGAAGTCATGAAAAAACAAGTCCCTAAATCCGTGAGTGAGAAAATACTCGATTTTGGAAGCCCTATAACTATTTTTCAATTTAAAGAAAGCGATTCTCGCACTCCAACAAAAACCCTTTTAACAGTTCTTTGTATTTTCATTTTCCTAAATCAAACAAAAGCATACAAAGGGCAGTTAAACAGATACAAGTTATCCTTAAAAAAAAAAAAAGATAAAAAAATTTAAATAGTTGGTTTACTAATATAATAATTATAAATTTAAACGTCATCTTACAGTTTAAAGCCTTACCCTTCACTGTTTTTTTTTCCATTATCCTTGCTTTTCAAGGAAAATTTCCCCTTTAACTCTCCAAGTTAGTATGACTTTTGTTTTCATTCAAGAGCTAAAAAAAGATCCGTACTACTTTCGATGATTATCCTCCAGTTATTTTACCCAGCTGAAACTCCTCAAACATCCATTGAAAAATCGCGGCAGCCAAAGCCCATTATCTGCAGCTTGGACTCCTTTGACCTTTGATACCCAATAGGCTCTTCCGTTATAAAACTACTAATTTTCTAACTTATCCTGATATATATTGCAACACTTTTAAAGTAGAAAATCCAAAAAAAAAAAGAAGTTTTCAATTGTTTGGTGAGTTGTTGCCTTTTTCTAGATAAGTTTCTTTTAATTAATTTGCTGCTTGTTAAAGAACAGAAATTTTATCCAAAAATAGGAAAATATTACCCCTCTTAGCCTCTTCCTACACGGTTAAAATCGAATAGTAACGTATTTTTACCACGTGCAACTATGCAGTCGCATCAGATCACAAATCTGACACACCAAACAGATCAACACAACCTCTACGAACAGCTCCAAGGCTTGGCATATGCCAAATCTACCTAATAGTACAATTTCTAACTAGATGCAAATGCAACCCAAAAAAAGTTTCCAAGAAAAGATAAAAAAACGTAAAATGGTTTTTTAAAAATAAAAAAGACGTGTAGAAACGCGCAGGTGGCCCACGAGCCGCAAGCAAAATGTCGAAAATACTCCTATATCTCACAAACGACGAATCCAAACGACAAAAGGAGGAGGGAATTTTCAAGGCTGGAAGAGTAATAAGAGAGGAAACAGATAAGACCAGAATGGTTGGTTACCTGAGAACCCGGTGAGAAGGCGGTGGCTGAGGCGAGGAAGGTCTTTGGCGGAGATTTATATAGCCACCACCGTTATTGGTGGTGCTTGGCTGATTAGACAAGTCTTTGTCGGCTCTCACGACCCGGCGGTCCACTCGAACCGTGGTCCGATGAACCGGCGCGGTCGAGTCGTCCTTGTCCTTGTCCTTAACCTGGACCTTCATACACCTTAGCCGCTTACGATTCCCCCACTGCAAAACGAAATCCGACGACGTCGTTTGTCTTACGGCATCGGAACTCGCTCTTAACAGAAGCGACCCATCTCCTCCTCCGCCTCTTTCTCTACCGCATGTATTAGTATTGTTGTTGTTATGGTTTTGCCTAGTCGCCGTGTCTTTTTCTTTGTCCATTTGCTTTTGTACACCTGTGCCAGCAGCGATCATTTTTATTACTCTTTTTTTTTTAATTTCAACGAATCAAAAGAGTGAAAAAGTACCAAGGCCAAATAATAATAATAATAAAAAAGATAAAAAGAAGAAGGTAAAGATACAGATGCGGAAGAAGAAGAAGGGGAAAGCTCCCACACAATTCAAATTTCAAACGCAACAGAGCTGTAGGAAAAGGAGAAAATGAAGATCGTGGAAGGTGTGAATCTGACGGTCCAAAATTTGGAGGAGAATTTAGGGGTATTCAGAGCCGTAAGATGGGTAGGAGCGATAAGAGATAGAGCAATTGGACAGTGAAGATAACGGAAGTGCTCTCTTTGACGATAAGGCTCTACAGAACATTGAATAGAAAAAGGGCATGAGGGAAGTTTCTTTGCAGGTAGCGCCGGATTTTTGTCTTGCCGAGAAAATGTGGGGAAATAAGAGGCGAATTGAAAGTACCGAGTACTACGATTCTCATCTATTTCGACGGGAATTTGCAGGCTGATCAAAGTATGAGCTTGCTCGAGCGGTTGAATGCTGGAGATAACAAGAAAACGCAAGATGAAAAGATTTTAGTATTTTTTCTTGTCCCTCTCCTCAATTTTCTCTGTAAAGTGAAAGAAAAAAAAAAAAAAAAAAAAAAAAAAAAACAAAGGAAACAACTTTTATCCTGCCATGGAAGAGTCCGGCAAAGAATTGTAAATTTTTCAGATAGATGGGATCGGTTTCCACTGCAGAAAATGTTTTTGTGGAAATTGGGAAATTTGAGGAAATGTGTGAATGAAGGCGAAACGGCCATGGATAAATTGAATAAGATCTTTCGCGCACAATCAAGGCGGATTTGTTACAAAAACTGAAATTTCTCAAAAACGGCTTGGGATGAGAGAAAGTTCGGAACTTATGAGAAGGATAGAAAAGTGAAGAACCCGAACCGCTTAAGATTGGTCCAAATTCATCCCAAGAACACTAATGGAGAGAGAGAGAGAAAGTTGAGAATTGAGATACGGTTAGAAGACACTGGGACAGAACATTACCTCAAAACTCAAAATTTGATATTGCAAATTATCTTAATCCAAAAGATGGAAATCAAATCCACTTAAGCAGATTGTCACAGCCTCTCTCTGCAGATAACAAAGAACCAAATTAAAGGTCAGAACTTCCATTTCAGGAACCGAACACAGTATAACGAGAATGATAATTACAAGGACCAAACTCCAGGAGGCCGAGAAATCTTCACGCTAAATCACAAAACTTAACTCGCTTTCTCTGATCTGTGAACCAGAGCAACGGTTCCTCACCTATCTCAGCCAGATATGGCCGTTTTCACCATCCAAAATTCGTTGAAGAACTCTTCTTCTCGTGTTCTACAGACAACGAAAAATGCAAAAAGAGGGCAAGAAACTCGACGAGACGATTGCAATTCAGAGGGTTAATCTCCGAGTCTGACGATTGTTCCCTCTATTTATCTCATCAACGAGTTCGAATTCCTTCAGAAAATCGCTCAAATATATTTGAAATGCGCCTGCGAAACATAAGATTAGACAAAGGAACTAGTTAATACAGGGCGGAAATCGCTATAAATCAATGAGAAAATAAGCTTGCGCATCTAAGAACTTGAAAAACTTCCTGAAATTTTAGTAAAACAAAAAGAGTTTTCACAATTAGCTTAGAAAATCAGGTCCAACCCCTCAAGAACTCTTCAAATGTGTTCCAAATCAGAAATTACACCGGAAGAGAAATCAGTTTAGAAATATTGACACACGAAAAACCGTCAGGAAATCCGGCTTTTTGTTTCTTATTACAAACCTAGAAACTAATTTCCTCTGTCGGAAGCTTCAGATCCTCGACATTTCGCAGTTACAACAATTGCCAATTCTCTCCGGAACTACCCTGTTTGGCTCCCGGGAAAGGAGAACAGAAACCAGAAGAAGAAAATCACAGAGAAGATGACCAAAACCACAGAGTTTCTTCTTCTCCTTCTTCTTCGTCTCCTTCCTCTGCTTGTTCTGATTAGAACGAAATGCTCTCTCACCCTTTAAAACCAATATTTTATACCACCCTTCCCACTTACCGTCACACTTTAACCGTCCATCGCCTAGCAATCTCCACCGTTGATAAACAATCGGACGCCTCTCCCCTTCTCTCTCTAGTTCCGTCATCTCCCTTCCGTTACGTGCCTCCTTTGTCCTCTACACTCTATAACTGACGGCGTCGGCTCTTCTAAACGGAATCTTCTACGTCGTTATGGGCTCCTTCAATTGATTTTTACAAGTATTTTTATTTTATGTGAATTTGATCTCGACGCATTTTTTATTCATTTATTATTGTTATTATTATTTTACTTTAGTTCTCGTAAACCAGAACCGGTGCAACAGTGAATCGGCGCTTAGTATGGTTATCCAACCATGGTTAATTAACCGGGTGATGCGTTTACATTACTCACGTGAGAATAAGACCATTTCGTATTCTCCGGTGGACATACTAGATTGTATACCGCGGCGTATTTGTGGGATCGCTCACTAACAGGGCCGATTTTTTGAATCTTGACCGTCCGTAATATTGTAGTCGAATTGTCCTTTTAATTTTTGCCTCGTTTGGTTAGTTAATTTAAATTTTATTAATTTAAATAGAAGAATTTAAGTCTTATTTATTTTATTGATGCGAGTTTAGAATTCAGTTTTTATTATAGTAAAAAATTTTTAAAAATAATCATATATAATTTTTTTATTATAGTAAAAAATTCTCACATAAAATCGCATTTCAACTCGAATCTGCAAATTAAACGGTCTCTTAAACTGTGTGGTTTAAATTGTAGTTTGAATTGACGTTTGGATGTGCATCTAAAGTTTTAATTTGAACATAAAATAAAATTCAAATTTGTGTTTGGTAGGTGAAAAATAGAGAGTGGACACTTTTTTACTGTTCAAAAATGGTTTGAACGGTTGAACTTGAGTGGAGAGCTAAACTCTAAAGTCTCGTTCATTTTACTGATTCGAGTAATCAGTTCTAGGTTTCTATAGTTTAAAGCTCTTAAAAATGTCACATCTAACTTTTTCTACTACAGTTAAAAACTCTTAAAAATGTCATATCTTAGCTCGAATTGAAAACTCAAATTCACGAAGCAAACGAGGCCTAAGTTGGACTATTTAACTCAGTTCGAACAAGGAATATAATTCAAACTACATATTTACTAAACATCAGTTTAAACTATGTCCACTGTTCAAATTGAGTTAAACTGAACTAAACCAGTTAAACAAACGGGGATTTAGTTTGTTTTTGTTTTCTCTTTGGCTTTCTTTTGGGATAATTTTAATTGTTTGTATACAATAAGACGAGGGAATGCCATAACTTTTTAGTGAGACTCAAAGTGACTCAAACCCTCAATATATATTTAGAGTAAAGAGATTTACAACCAACTGAACTACCCTCACTTGTCAAATAATTTCAATTTGGTACTGTATGTTATAGGGAAACCATTTTTTAATGCTCTATATTTTTTTATGAATTTAAATTAGTACGTTAGCATTTAAAAAAATCGAATTTACCTTTTTCTATAATTTCTATTTGATCAACTCCAATTAACTATTTATTAAACGTTTTAAAAGAAAACCCTATCCTTGTAACCAAACATTATTTTTCCTTTAAAAATTTTAATAAGGGTATATTGGGGTCATCAAATTAAAAATTATTAAAAAATACAAATTCAACATTTTATGTCTGGGAAGAGAGACTCGTGGACTAAAAATTGATGTTTTAAAACCTTGATTATCAATTTAAAATTATAAAAACACAAAATATTAAAAGACAAATTCACTATAACACAAGGTACTAAATTGAAATTATTTTTTTTTTCACACTTTGCTACTCTAACGAGAGAGCAAACGGTACCCAAACTACCTTTGATAATTTTTCATTTTATATTTTTGTAAAAATTATTTAACGAAAAAATTAAATAAAATAAATTTTAAAACTAATTCTATCTCTTCATCTTTTTCTCTCTATATATTTTCTCGTGTGATTTGAATGATTTTAGTTAAATATGGCAAATTTCTATAGCGTCTGACAAATTCGATTTTTTTTCTTATGATTATGGATTATAATAGGCATGGTGCACGAACGTTCATGATTAAGAATCAATATTACTTTACAAATTTGTATGGGTTGAACATAAGTTATGACTTCAAATTTTTCTAAAAAGCGCAAAAAAAAGAGAGAGAGAGATAATTAAGATGATTCGTTTGAAGAGCCTTGCAATTAGAGGTGGCAATTTGTATTGGTAGGTCGTGTTCATGTCATATTGACCCCCTCAGTTGACAATGATAGGTCTGACACGAATATGACATGTTTATTAATCGTGTCGAAATATAAAACTCAAACACGACCTGTATATTAGTGGGTTCACACGACACGACACGAATAACCCGTTTATTAAACATGTTATAAATATATCGTGTCAACCCGTTGATTACCTGTCAACTCGTTTATAAAATGTGTGATAAATAAGTCGTGTTAACCTATTTTTAAACTTGTTTATAAAATATGTGATAAATGGGTTGTGTTAACCTATTTCTGAACCTATTTTTAAATATGTTTATAAAATGGGTAATAAACAGGTTGTGTATTCGTGCTACCCAAATATGACACGTTTAATAAACGGATTATGACGGGTCAATTGTAGGTTGACAAGTCAACCTAAAAATGACACGTTATTTAATCTTATTTCACAAATTCGATGTGATTTTGACCCGTACTTATTTATGATAAACATAAATTTACTAATTTTATATGAATTTTGAGTCATATTATCGTGTCACTACCTTAATTATCAGCCCTACATGTAATGATATATAGATCGTTTAAATTGGATTAGACATGAAAAAGTTACAAATCTCAAGACTAGACTCGCATGACCCCCGCCCCCAGCAAAACACCTGTCTTCATGCGTCGTGGGCCATGTTGTTCTTTTTTTTTGGTTTAAATTCCATCGTCTCTTCCAATTTGGTGCATCATTTATTCATATGCCTTTCGTTTACTTGTTTTCTTCTTTCTTTCTTTGTTTTCCCTCTTAAATTACTCTCTTTTTACACTTTTCATTCTCATTGCTTTCTTTTTATTTCATGAATATAATTTCACCCACCCATTAATTTGTGGAAGAACTTTTTGCTAGAAATTTGTGGAAGAACCTATAATAAGAAGAAAATGAAATATAACTAACTGCACAAAACAAAATCTAAACCCATCGATCAGAAAATGTACTTTCTGCACTCAATTTTCAGTATTTTGAAACGAACGTTAATTGTTCAAAGAAACGCGTTTTTCGTGACAAAGTAAATTTGTCAAGTAATTGGTTGAAAAATAAAGAAATGCCCCTTTCCTTCTTCCTTTTCCTATGGATACACAAATTATTGAATAAGTGTACATTTTCTATACATTCTTTTTAATGTTTACAATATTTTAAGAGATTTTACTGAGAAACAGTTTTTGAGAAATAAATTTAGTCTGATTGAGTACAAGAAAAAATAGCTATGAAATATGTTTATTTATTTATAAAAAATAAAAGATTATTCGCACTTATGCTCTTAATTTTGAATTAATCCCACTTAGCTTATCCGTTAAATACTTAAATTTCCATTAAAGTAGGCAAAAAAGAAATTAAAGTTTAGTGGAGTGACATGATTTTCTTGTCTATTTTTACTTTTATCAGTATTTCTAACATGATGAATTAAGTGTGACTAATTTAAATTCTAAATAAATTCTACATTAGGAAATGTTCTTTTTAACTACTGATAGAAATTGTTGTTTCAGTCGTTGAATTAAAATTTTAATGGCATGATCTATGTGTGTTGACTTAAAAAATTTACAACACTGATTACTACAATCACACATTAGACCGTCAAAAACTTGAACGTATAGTAAAAGTGATAGTATCTACAAATAATTGAAATGCCATATCTTATTATGAAAATCCCCTAAAAACTCGAGAGAATGTGGCAATGACATAAACTTTTTTCTATTGGGTTTAAAATATGGTTCTTAAGGTTTAAGGCTAAAGTCGCAAAGAATTTACGTAAGGTAAATCATAGATTTACAAAGAGAACTCCTCTAAAAAAAGATTTACAAGGAGAACTAAAAAATACTTAGACTTCGTTCGTTTCGCTGATTCGAGTTTAGAATTCGAGTTGAGATGTGATTGTATGTGAGAGCTTTTTACTGTAGCAAAAAAGTTAGATGTGATTGTTTATGAGAGCTCTTTACTGTAACAAAATTTAAATTTTAAACTCGAATCAGCGAAACGAATGAGGCTTTAATAAAATCAATATAATCTAATAACAATAAATATAGGCTTATTTTTTATAATTTCTCTGATAAAAAAAATGTCAATGGCCCGCTAATTATTTCATATTTTACTCAAAATAATTAAAAATTTATCTTTTTTTAAACTTTTTTTTACTCCGACCTTAAAAAGATCAACTCGCGCATGAACACCATACCATCACGTTTCCCAATCAGGGCCTGATTGCAATAAGATATTGTTGTCCCTGTGAATGTGGCGAATGATCTTCGCTTCTCGGGAACAACAAAAACCACCATCCCGCTCTTTCCATCATTAAACGACAAAAGAAGAACGCAATCGGAATGTGATCATTTCAAAAATAATTTTATTTTTTAGAAAAAATAAAAATAAAAATGTATTTACTTTTAGAGAGAAATTATTTTTAAAAATGTGTTTAGTAGATTTGTCAAGAGATTATTTTTAGTATAAAAAATCTATTAATATATCTCTCTCTATTTGAGAGAGGAAAAAATAGAAATAAAAAATAAAAAAAATTAAAAATCATTTTTCATTTCTCTCATTTTACACTAAACCAAAAAATCGTTTTCATTTTTATTTTTATCTTTAATTGTGTCAAACGACGATTCTCTTCTATTTTCATTTCTCAAAAAACGTGAAACAAAGACAAAAATAAAAACAACTCCAAACAACGAAAGCAACTATGTCCAGAAATAAAACAAAAACAAAATAGAGCCTACAACGAAAGACACGCAGCCTTCAAACACGGTGTGAATCACGCATCAAATAAGTTGGGAAAATAGTAACGAAAATCAACGATTGTAATCGTGCTGGAATTTTAGACGGGCCGCCCGCGACCGTCCGAAAATACTGAGTTTTTGCCCGAAGCCCGACCCGACCCGCCCGAAAATTTTGGGCCGCCCGCCCGAGCCCGAGAAGGCCCGTGAACGGGCCGCGGGCTCGTATTTGGCTACCCAAGCCCAGCTGGGCCCGAGCCCGCTCGAAATGCCTTAATTTTTTTTAAAATTTTTATAATTATTAATTTATTTTGTGTTAAAATTATATAAAAACTAAAATCAACATGCAACAGACATTATTAACACAATTTAATAAATTAATTTTGCATATTAATTTTTAAATTCGTAATTCATGATTGCCTCGTTAAAAATCTTACCAAGAAAAACCTAATTGGGATAAAAACTTGGTAAGAAAAAAAGAGTGCAATCATTTTGTAACGATTAACAAATTTTACAAACTTACAAACTTATACAATTACAATGTCAAAAGTAAATGCATATTTACAAATTATAAATTTACAATTTAATTTGAAGCTGAAGGATCGTCTTCAAAATTAAATGTTAATCGATTAAATTCATCGATCCATTCTTGATTTGTCGGTGAAATTGTATCCTGTAGATGTTGATCGGCACGATCTCAATCCTTAATGCAGACTAAGACTTCAATAATGTCCTTTTGCAATGCATTCCGGCGTTCCTCAAGTATTTGTCCTGTCGTATTGAAGGCTTATTCGGATGAAATAGTGGAGACTCGGATCGAAAATATATCCATTGCCAATCGAGTTAGGTTGGCCAAGTTAATGCCCGTGCCCTCTACCATTGAACTAAGTCAAACGATTCTCTAGTACCATTGACTACTAAGCTTTCACTGAGGTGCGTCATAAGCTCGTTGAAGCTGCCACCTGTTGATGAAGATCCACTCCTAGCTTCTGTTTGAGTTGTCTTCTTCTTCTTCTTCTTCAACCCGAAAACATTCAAGAATGAATGCGGGTTTTCATCTTATTGTTGCGGTTTATGTACTCTAGAGTTTGTGCGTCTAAACCTATTATCATATTTACTATATATCGAATATATTTTTGCCTTTATTATTAGAAATTGGTCCGAATAATTGATGCCTAAAAATTCACTTAAATTTTCTAAACCACTTTCTAAACCGTCTAATTTTAATATATGATAAAAAATAGTACCTAAACCACCCAATAAAGGTAACTTAGACCAATATTTTTTAGATTTCTTTTCCATAGAATGGATAGAAACTCTTAAGATTGTGTCCTCCCTAATATTCGCCAAACAAAATATTAATTCTTAAAAGTTCACCAAAAGCTAAAGGTGATGTTGGGTAATATGTTCTACTAAGTTTTAGAGCAACTTCATGAAATCTACCTAAAAATTGATACAAAACTTTGGTAATTTGCCAATCGTATGCCTCTATATGTCCTACTCTTAATTTTGCACACATATAGTTTGTTATAGCATCCTTATAGGGGATGCATTGTTGAAAGCTCAATGTGAGAAATTGTAGACAAAGTCTCATACATATGTGCACATCGTGAGAACACTTCTTCATTTGTTTGTGCTCCTACATCGGGCTTGATAAACTTCTATTTTACAATGAGATCAGAGAAAGAAGGTGGCCACTACTTCAACTGTGCATTAGGATTATGTACAACCTTAATATATCGTTGCCAATTAGGAAGCTCTACAAAACTAAGTAGTTGATCTAAAGCAGCTATCATTTGCGCAACTTTCATACGAGTTACTTGTGGATCGTATTTCCAAGTGGTTAGACCACTGGTTGCGCGATCAAAAGATAATTGTGTTTGGCAGAGTTCGGGTCCGCCGAACTGGCTAAGCTTTTGAAGACACTTTTCAGAGTGTCTTCTCAAGTGTGTGGTGCCATGAATAGTGTCACCTTGTAATTTAGATAAACAATGTTTACACTAAGCTATATGTTTAGTGTTACCTTCATTGTCGATCTCCTCAATTGTGTCGAAGTGATCCCAAACTGTCGAGGTGCGCGTGCATTTCCTCCTAGAGGTTGCAACACTTGCAGACGCAGTCGCACTTGCACTCGCCGCTTCTCCACGCCCATCACCATTGCGACCACGACCTTCAGTTCGCCCACCAGGGCTCGGATTATTAGATTCCTGCGTAATAAATTCATTAGTGAGAAATTGCTCTTCTTCCACGTTGTGTTGGGCATCAACGGGAATACCACTATAACCAAAAGAATCCATTATAAAAAAAATAAGAGTGATTTGAAAGAGAGCTTTAGGATAATGTGATAACTTTTAGAAAAATTATGAGAGAGATTGAGAGAAATTGAGAGAGATTGAGAGGGATTGAGAGAGTTTGAGTGAGAAAAATGTGTGTGGGATGAGGGATATTTATGAGAAATTATTGGGTTAAAAATTTGATTTTTTCCCCCAAATTCGGATCCAACGGCTACTTTTTGTTTTCGGCGGGTCGGGTTCGGACAGAAATTCGGGCAACGGTAAAAAAAACTAGCCGTTAGAACCGGGCTTTTCGAGTCGGGTCGGGCTCCAACGGTTAACCTTTTCCATTGGTTGGGTTTCAGGTAGTTCGGACAAATCAGGCCTAGCCGGCAAAATTTAAAAAAATTCCGGCGGACGACGACAACACGACGGTAGGCTCCGGCGTGGTATCCATTTTTGGGGGGCCCGAGCTTAAAAATTTATTGTTGGACAGGCCGGCAGTTGAGTTTGCCCGCCGAACCCAAAAAATTCGGACCTCGGGCCGGCTCAAAGTTCCAATACTAGATTGTAAGGTTTCACTGAGATTATAGGCATTTTTAAAATACATTTAATTCTGAGTTTAAGCATTTTTTTATCATATTATCTTAATTTTGTTATGATCCAAAAGAATCCAAAAAATATTTACTAAGATCTAATTATTCAAAATTTTTGTTTAAAGGGATCTAATTATTCAATTAACCTATTCCGAAAAGGCAAAAAAAGAAAAATTATGAACATTGGTTTAAACTTTAAAGTTAAGATCCAAGAGGAATTACTTTTATTCTGCTGTTCTAACCCCATATAGTTGCATTCGTAGCACACTTTCAAATATCAATTACAATCCTTCAAAGATACAACACCATTACAGAGCAGTCCAAAGCAGTTTTGAGTAGATTACTTGAGTTTTAAGGTATGTACAATGGAGCAATAAGGAGTACGGAAGTCCTATAAATTTGCCAATAAATGACCATAACTTCATGAATTTTGGTCATTTTCAGATACTCAATTACGATGGACTCAGGCGCTGAATCCCTTCTGCAGAGAGCTCCAACGACTCCTCGGAACGTTGACGCAAGCTTGTGCCGATGCCTCAGCCATCTTCTCGTTCCTAATTCCAGCGTTGCAGATGTTTGCGAAGGATCTCATGTGCTTCATACCATATTGGGACAGGGATCCACAATGCGTCTCAAAAGTCCTCACCTGCATAAAAACACATTGTTGCAGTATTTTTGTATCAGAGACCCGACTACAAGAGGTGTTGTAGCACCTGCAATATTTGTATATTTCATATAGAACTGTTTTTAAGGGCGCTAGAAGAGAGGCTGGACTTTGGGAACAGTACCAGAGTCTTTAGGCAGTCCCAGTCATCAACGAGTGGAAGACCAGCAGGGCGAACAGCATTGAGCAGCTCCGGAGCTTTCTCAATTCCAACCAAGAGTTTCCCAATGAGTTTCACGCTGTCATCTATATGCATTCTGTGTGACATTGCTTCAACAAACTCTTTCTGTGCTTTGATCTTCCTAGGTGAGCCTTCAGGAGCCTTTCGGAACTGCAGAAGGTAGAATCAAAACAAGAAAAAGAAAAAGAAAAAAGGGATAGTCAGAGAGCAGAAAGGGGCTGGTTGCAGGCAATCGGATAGAAATACTCAGGCTTTATGACATTCAAAGAGAATTATAACATAATTCAATAGAGAAAGAAGGAATAACCTTAACCCAGAAATGGACAAGATCAGCATCCCGCTGGTTAACTGCTTTAGTACGCGGCCTCAAAGAGTTCTCATCCACAAAAGTAAAGTTATCATTTGCAGGGTTTGTACCAAGATACAGGAAGAGATTGTTCTTGCTAAGCTGTACATCACCATATTGCATGACATGAGAGCCATAAATAGAATTCTCATTGGCTGTCCTCGTCTTAACCTGGTAACGCCAGCAAAATGAATCATAAAGCTTTCATTTGTCAACGGGATTGAAATACAGGGATTATTCGACCAGTTCACAATTCCCATATGAATCTATGCCAGTCACCAATAATATTGAAATAGAGGGCTTGTCTAATCCACGATCTAAACTATGAATCTAGTGAGCACAGTTTCTTCCTCTTTTCATTCTTTCTTTCTTTTGTCATACTTATTTATCCTAATGACAATGTTGGGAAGGAGCTCTTACCAATTGATACTGCTGGTGCAAAGATTCTGTCCGCAAATTGTGCACGTCACTGTCCATAAAATTACATGGTTAAATTCACTGAAAATCTTGCAGCCAAACATGCAATTTAGCTTCTTTCATTGCCTTCTCTGTTATAGGCTAGGCCCCCAAAAGTATAATTGTGTAATAAATACCTGTCCTCCATCCATGAAACACTATACAAGTCTCCCAAACAGGTTTCATATTCTGGGGGAGGACTGGGATACTCTCCAGGGCAATACGTTCCCCAACTGCTTTCTTCTGCATTCGAGGCTGTGGTTGCATAGATGTTCAAACCTTCAGGAAGAAGACCCTCAAAGATACTTCCAGATTCACAAGCTTCAAGATAAAATACCTACAACATATAATAAATCAGTTCAACAACCGAACATCACAGTATACCCGAACTGACGCAAATTGTATTCATTAAATAAGAGCTTCATTTAGTAACCTACCAGGCTTTTATAGGTCCCTGCAGCATGTTTCTTCTTCAAGACTTCTAGCAGATCATCAGCAATTCCTGCAGGCAAAAGAATGAGATGGAGATAAGAGGATCTGCATTATGATAATTGAGAACCAAATATCCAGACACCACATATTCCCACTTCCTAGTAGTAAAAGTACTATCGTTATGATTTGTTCTTATCATTAGGACCGTGCCATTAAACCAATATTGTATTTGTGAACTAACAGTAAGCAGGCAGTATTCATAAGAAAGTTGCGTCTGCAGAACTACTAACCAAGAACTCCAGGACCACCATGGTCACTATAGAAAATGAAGATATGATCATTGGGACCACTATCCACAACTTTCCCACTACCCCCTTTAACGGCAGTCTTATTTCCAAGGACAACCGCAAAAAAATTGTCCACAGTAACATCATCACCAGTATAATCCTGTCAACAGAACGATCCACCATTTGAGTGGAACAACAACACTAAACAGTTAAGAATTTCCGGCATATGCTAATACCAGAGGGCAAACAAGCATACCTTTGGAACTCCATTGTAAACATCCTCCCCGTGTGGGCTGTTAATTATAATTCCAGGCCTAGGATTCTCTTCGTCGTAAGCGACGTCGTCATACATGAAGACAATAATGTTTTCATCCTTCAGCCCACCCTTCCTCAAGAGTTGGTAGGCATGACAAACATCAGCCTGTAATAATAAAAAAAGAAAATAGATTCATTAATGATGCTTACAAATTTCAATTACGAAATCTAGAAGAATGAAATACATCACGCGAAAGCGACTCTTAAAAGTTTAATCCACCAGGCCCATTACTGATTCAACACCTACTTGCAGTCATTTTCACAAAAGCAGACAAAAGAGAGACGTAACAAACAAGAATACCAATCCAAAAGTCTTCTATAGTTATTGATGGAAAGGATAAATTATTGGATCTTGCATCATAACTTGTTGATTAATTCATTAAAAAAATAGTAAAACTAACTCCCTAGTTGAGATTCCGAACAAGTGCCGACAATACTTTTCTTCCATTGATGACCATTTACTTTATATAACACAAAGAAAGTTAGATACAGATTTGATTACTGATAAAATACCGGAAGAACACAGAAATCTGAAAATAAAATAGATGTTTATAGCAGAAATGAAATATCTAATTCCAGTTATCATATTAAAGCGTTCCGTACAGGTTTTAGATTTAACTAAAACTGTTTGTAGAAAATTTCACTGGCACCAAGTAAAAGCTTAAAGCAGAAGAACATGGATTTAGAATAAAAATAACTGTGTTAAAAAGAAAACTAGAGCGTAAAGAATATACATCGCCAGTATTAGAGTTCAGAGTAAGAAGCTTAATAAAGCATAACTTTCCATTCATGCTTACTTTCGAAGCAATCTCTAGCTTCTGAAAAGCTAAAGTTTGAAATCAATAAGTAAAAAAATAAAATAAAGCGAGAAAATAATATCAAAAATTTAAAAAGGAATAAAAATTTTAAGATAACAACTCAAGATCAGATTAAAGGAAAAGGAATCGTTTATTTTCCTTAATACGAAAACTTGATCTACCACAGAATGATATAGAAATCAAACAACGGAATCGCTTATTTCTCTTAATACGAAAATATGAATACCGCGGAATGATATAGATATTAAATAACACCAAAAAAAGGAAATAATTTGGGGGATGGTAAAAACCTGATGCCTGTAATTCCAGTATCCATTGGAGCCGGCGATCAGAACCGCCCATCTGGTTCCTACGGCGTCGTTGTCCTCGGAAACACCACCACTTCGGAAGAATCTGGAAGCTTCCGAAGGTAACCGGAGAACGTCTCCGATGAGGTCCCGGCTACAGGATGCGACCACAGAAATAGCCAGGAAGGATAAGAGGAGGACGCCTGTGGCGAACCGAATCATGGCGGTTTCCGGTTGATCGCGAAGTTTTTTTTTGCACCGGAGGAAGATGGTGAGGATTGAAAAGCAAATATGACGAGCCGACGAGGTATTGAAGAGGATATTTATGGTGAATTGTGATCAAGCAAAAAGTTTTTAATTATCGATTTTGGTCACATTGATTTTATTTTCTCAGAAAAAAAAAAAGGATTTAGGTGGGGCCTAGTAGGCGGACTTTTTTAATGGACAAAATCGCTTTAATATGGCACGTACATGTGTCTAGGTGCTTCCACTTCGAAACTCGAGTTGCACGTTACCTTATCGTAATTCGCGCGTGTGGACTGTGGACTACCTTATTATTATTTTTTCCTTTTATTACTGTACAGTACCTTATCTTTAGATTTAAATGAAAATTTATTTTTCATACATCACTATTAGTAATTTATACCTTTTTTTATATTTGGAACTGGAAGATTTTTATTTTTATTTTTTATTTTTTTTTGCTGAGAGGGGAAGAGTTGAATGCAGGACGTTATTCTCCATACCAACTTAAGCTGCCCAGCGCTGCTATTGGCATAATAATTATGGGTGATAATTTATGTTACGTGTTATATTTGTGTCATATTTTGATCATTTTTTTTAAATTTATAATTAATTTAAACACAATTTGTGACACAAAATTTTTTAAAAATCACAATACGGTACGATCACTTTATGGGTTGACACGACACGAAAATAATTAGTGACACGAAATTGACTCGTGAATTTGAAATTGACTCTTGAATATGAAATTAACACGAAAATTGTATACTTTTATTTAGTTTTTTACATATTAGAAATAACTTAAAATTCATAAAACACTAAAATACAATAACATCCATTTAAATTAAGCAAATAATAGTATAAGATTTTGAGTATAACTATCATAATATCATAAGTTTATAATAAAATGAAAAATATGTAATAAAAAAATATATGTATTTTTTAATTTTTTACGAGTTTCGTGTCGTGTTTAGGCGGGTCCAACCCGAAATTGACCCATATTTTTCATGTCAATTTCAAGTCTACTAAATTCTGACTTGAACCTCTTTTTTCTCAACCCTAACCAGTAAAATTTATGTCGTTTTCGAATCGTGTTATCGTGACCCATATTGTCAGTCCTAATAATAATCGGTACACTATAGATAGGCCCAACCCAGTCCTCTCGTACTAGGGTTGGCTTCTCGCAGTTCTCCCTTTAACACCAACGATAGATAAGAATCGAACTGTCTTATGACGTACCCAACTCACGTACCAGTTGAATCGGTGAACAACTGAACCATTGGGACCTTCTTCAACTCCAGGATGTGATGAGTCGACATCGAAGTAAGTTAGACTGGATTTTTTTGGTACGTTTGGTTTGACCATTGGAATGGAATGACAATTCCTTAAATGCCATCATTCTTATGTTTGATACTTTGATTGGATAAAAAGACTTTTATAAATGACTATTCTTATGGAATGGTTGAATAATAACTCCTAAACTGAATCGCTTGAATGATCATTCCATCGTAAAATTTGCATTAATTAAAATTCTTCCTCCCTAAATTATCCTTCCTAATGTTATAAAATTTACTTTAAATACCATTTTCACCACCCTTATGTTATATAATATTTATGCTTTGTTTCCTTGTTGTTCTCATATATATAAATATTATATATATATATATATATTGCTGAATTGTTTGTCTTAGGTTGGTTTTTTGTTCTAACACGCGTTTTTAAATTAATATTCTTTGCTTTATTTCGTTGGTTTTTTTTTTTTTGGGCTAAATTGCTTGTGTTAGGTTCGTGTCCCATGAAACTAATAGTTTTATTATGTGAGTAATTAGTCATATATCAAAATTAAAATTATTTGAATATTGATTATATATCAAATGAAATATTCTCCTTAAACCTGGAGAGAGAAAAACAGAAATTAAAAAATATTATAATTTAGTTTTAAACATTATTAATGAACAAGATGTAGGGATACTTTAGTAAACTATTCCATTCTATTTTGATGACTAACCAAACATAATAATTGTGATTCTAATTTTAATTCTAATGTTCAATCAAACGATAGAATTTGAATGAACCATTTGTTGTGCGTTTGGTTAGTGGATTCGTGTCATGATTCGAATCATAGTTCGTAACTCGTTATAGTATTTTCTCTCACAAAAAATACACGTAAATCGAGAATGATTCTGAATCATGATTCTAAATTCATGAACCAAACGTCTGATATTTTTGTTATCATTCCATTATATTCCTATTTTTATTTTTATTCTTATTCCTATTCTCACTTCATTTCACCAAACCAAATGTTTAATTTACAATTATATTAAGAAAAATGAGACAAATACACTTTTATTTTTTGATAGGAGAAAAGTACATTTTTAAATTTTATGTGTTTTGATTTTTACCTCTTACTCTTATTAGTATCATTTTAACCAAATACTATATTAGTTAAAAAAATATTAATTAAAATTAGAGAAAAAAATTAGACGCATACACTTCTAAAAATAAATTCAGTAATTTTCTCATTATTATGTTACATGATATTGCGAGTAAGATCTATTTTAATACATAGTGCATTTTAGGGTCGGCATTAAACATGACAAGGACTCGATGTTAAGATGTAGATTAAAAAAAAATTGCTTTTTTTTTTTTACTTTTTTTTTGGCCAATGGAAATAGTTTTCGGTACTTGGTACAGTGAGTAAGCTCCCAGAAATCCTTCAACTCATGGAAAATAAATCTTAATTGTTGTATTAGAGTATCTCTAATAAAATATTAAATTAATGTGTTAATTATAAATTTAGTATTTAAGTGTAAAAAATACGCTTTAATATAATGCTATCTTATGATAAATTTGTTCTATATTATACTTTGTGACAAATTTTCTACCAATAATAATCTATGTAAATTTGATATTTGATTGTTATTGATTGGAAAGTTTACTCTTTCATGTAATTATTACAACTTTTACGTTATTTAATTATTTTAAAAATAAATATTTATTTTTACAACTTTTAAAATTTAATAATTATAAAAAAAGTAATTTAATATTTTAAATAGCATTATATATTGAATTACAAATAAAAATAACATATCATATTTCCTTGCTTCAGACCAAAAACGAGGGGTTATATAAAAAGGCTTTCACCTTGTCTTCTGTAGAATGTACTTTCCAATTCCCATCGCAAATATAGAAAATACCAATATACATATTTTTTGGTAAAATAGATTTATAATCTCGTTTGGTTTGTTAGTTTAAATTTTATTGATTTGAATAAAAAATTTAAATTATATGATTTAAATTGTAATTTAAATTATAATTTAAATTGATATTTAAATGTGTATTATATTTACTGTTTAAACTTAATTAAAATAAACTAAATTAGTGAAATAAATGAGAATTTAATTACGCTAAATCGGCAAAATACCAATCTTTTCACAACTAAAGAAAAAGGAGGAAAATTACACACACACAAAAAAAGTTCTCTTTTACAATCAAGCAAAGCAGTGTCAATAAGCAATTGGTGTCAATAAGCAATTGGTGTGGGGACCAAAAACTTATGCACGTGGGCCCGTTGAAAGATGCTCCAAGCTACGCAAAGGCAGCAGCGGTATCTTCTCTTTTTTTTTTTTTCTTTTTTCTTTTTTCTTTTTTTTTTTCCTGTGATTACAATATTCATTTGCGGCCACCAAAGTTGGGTCGCTCAAGCAATGAGGCTTGATTGGCTAGGAGTGCTAATCGTCCGGTATGTTAGGGACAAACGATAAGGGAAAAAAAAAAAAATTGTCTCGTGCAGGAAACGACAAAACCGTGCGAAAAACAACCGAAAACACTCCTCCACTCCTTCCGCGAAAGCAACGATGAAAATTGAAAAGGTTTAGACTCATTCATTTTATCAATTTAAATTTAAAATTTAAAATTTATTGTAGTAAAAAGTTTTCAAAAATAGTTATATTTAATTTTTTTATTATAGTAAAAAACTATCACTTAAAATTATATCTCAACTCGAATTAAAAACTCGAATTAACAAATTAAACAGTCCTTTAATGTCTCGCATTGGCGTTTGAATTTTCAATTTAAATAAATATGTGATATTTTTTAAGAATTTTTAATTATAATAAAAAAAATTAAATGTAACATTTTAAAGAATTTTTAATTGTAAAAATCTAAAATTAAAATTGATGAAATGAATGAGACGTAAATTGTCTCCCACCCAGTTTCATACTTGGAAGCCATTCTAACTCTCCTCTAAAACTAGTTTACAACAGTTGATTTGCCCTTCCTTGAAAGTTTTAGATTTCTTTTATTTCACCGATTCGAGTTTTTAATTTTAGAATTTTACAATTAAAAGCTCTCAAAAAATATCACATCTAACTTTTTCTGCTACAATTAAAAGCTCTTACAAAATGTCACATCTCAGCTCGAATTGAAAACTCGAATTCGCGAAGCGAACGAGGCCCTATTTGTATGGACTATGTTGAATTTCTCGCGTTTGATAAATTGGCCTCATTCATTTCACCGATTTGAGTTTTCAGTTTTAGATTTCTATAGTTAAAAACTCTTAGAAAATGTCACATCTCAGTTCAAATTGAAAACTCGAATCCGCGAAGCGAACGAGGTAATCTTTAAGGGCTCGTTTGTTTCATGCGTTTAAATTTATAATTTTGATTCTATTACAGTGTTTTCTTTTAAAAAGAAAAATTAAATTTTAAATATTAGAATTAAAAATTACTGTTTTAAACGCATGAACTAAATAAGCCCTAAATTAAAAGACTCAGACTTCCAAACTTTAAATCTACTCCATGGTGGAACCAATTAAAAATAGAGATAATTTTTTATTACGGTTTTATTACATGTGACTCACATATAACCTTTTATTAATAGCGGCATATGTCTTTTTTGCTTGAATTGTACTACGCATAAAAACAAAACTCACCCTCCTTCCAACAAAAAAATCCAAGGATAACCAGCACTAATCTATAAGCGAGCGAAACAGCAAAGTGTTGTTCTTTAGGTCCAATTCAAGCAAGGTACGATAATGCCCTAAAAAGACATAGGCCGCTATTTATAAAAAGTCACGTGCGAG